GTTAAAATCTTTCTTAATCTGACATTTAGGGGTCTATTCATGAAGATGCCGAGGGCAGCCGAGTGAATGACCGATCTGAAGTGAGCCGAACACTGTTCGGCTATTCACTTCAGGCTGGTACGGCTAATTTCAGCCGTACATCGGCTGAAATCAGCCGTACATCGACTTGCTTCGTGTGGCTTCGGGTCGGCCGAACATGCTCATTCGTGAATAGACCCGACCCCTTAGTCTGCTGTTTATATTGTTCTCCCGCAAAGGTGGAAAATCTCTGCACAGAATGAGTCCGATTCTGGTCGCATTGAGTCATATCAGTCACATTTTGGTCGCAACGGTGGGATCTAAGTGCAATTGTCACAACCGGTAGGTACTTCTGGGTATGGGGCAGCATGTAACTCACTTCATATGACAGTGCTATCATATGGAAAATCCATAGTTTTGTGTAAGCTATGACTCCAGCTTACACAGGAGTTTATTTTCCCTCCTATTGGCTAAACAGAGCAATGGGGTAACGAAAGGAAGATGAGTGTATGCACCTGAGGATGTTTGCATAATACTGAACCTGCTGCTTTGTCCTTTATGGGTAAAGCAAAGGTTCACTTTGTGAGGGATTTTTTAAAAATATATATAGTTTTCGTTATTTGACTAGGAGCACTGAGACTTGCTTCTTCTGATAACAAAGGATCTCCAAGGGCAACCTCTTCTATATGCACTCGTTTTCGATCCCTCTGGGGACACGGTGGGTGCTACACATCTTTCAAGTTATATTGTGCACTGATTCCCAGGACAATGGTCTAGTGAAGAGGAAGTGTACTCTGTGCTTCACTTTCTCCTGACCTCTGCATTCCGTGCATTCCGCACTCCTGATCTCTGCATTCTGTGTGTTACGTACTCCTGACCTCTGCATTCCGTGCATTCCGCACTCCTGATCTCTGCATTCTGTGTGTTACGTACTCCTGACCTCTGCATTCCGTGCATTCCGCACTCCTGATCTCTGCATTCTGTGTGTTACGTACTCCTGACCTCTGCATTCCGTGCATTCCGCACTACTGATCTCTGCATTCTGTGTGTTACATACTCCTGACCTCTGCATTCCGTGCATTCCGCACTACTGATCTCTGCATTCTGTGTGTTACTTACTCCTGACCTCTGCATTCCGTGCATCCTGCACTCCTGATCTCTGCATTCTGTGTGTTACATACTCCTGACCTCAGCATTCCGTGCATTCCGCACTCCTGATCTCTGCATTCTGTGTGTTACATACTCCTGACCTCTGCATTACGTGCATTCTGCACTACTGATCTCTGCACTCTGTGCATTACACACTCCTGATTCCTGAACTTAGGTTTTATTTACCATACCTCTTTAAGCCGCTCCCACCTTTAGTACAATTTAGTAGAACCGCCATTTACTACAGCAGGATATGTGTGCCTCTTTTACTTGCCTCCCCTGTCTCTAACCTAATAAAACTGGGCATTGTCAGTAGGGTATCCCTGTATTCCATTTTGAAAATCTGGTGACCATATTTTAAAGAACTCTGGGCAAAACATTTATTAACCCATGCAGTGGGGCTACCCCTGCACTGCAAGGGTTAACTGCTAGTTTTTGTCTAGGTGCTAAAAAAGTTATACTCACCCGAACAGTTGAGCTGGCTCCTTGCTACGCTGAAGCCTCTCTCCTTCTACACTGCAGCATTGAAATGTTCTTCAGCGTCCTCATGTCTATACACTGTGTATACAGTATAACGTACTGGCTACACGGTTCAGGTAACTTTTTTTTATCATCTTTTTAGCCCTTTGCAGTGCGGGGGTAGCCCGACTGATCTCTGATTTAGAACAAGTATACAGATCAATATACAAAATTAAAGAAAAGTCAAAGGTGCTTATTTGCATGTTTTTTTTCTGGTTCAGTGCCACAAAGGGTTGAATTTACTCAGGGCCGGTTCACACCATAAAGAGTGCGTTCCAGAGCGTTCGGTCCCTGCACTGGAATGCAACCCGGCCGGCTCACATTGTTTTGGGGTGGGAGGGGGCGTGGTGGTGCATTGAAGTCAATGGCACCGCAGCCATGCAACCCCGCCTGCAGTGTGATCACCGGCACCCGGACTCGTGGCATAATAGTGCCTGCGTTCTGGTCCAGTGCGACCTGCAAAAATAGTGCATGCAGCATTTTTGCAGAATGCACTGGACTGGAACACGGGCACTAATGTGCCACGCGTTCGGGTGCCGGTGATCAGGCTGCGGGTGTGGCTGCGGTGCCATTGACTTCAATGCACCACCACGCCCCCTCCCACCCCCAAAACATAGTAAGCCGACTGGGTTGCGTCCAGTGCATTCCGGAGGCCGAACGCTCTGGAAGGCACTCTTTATGGTGTGAACTGGCCCTCAAACAGTGTAAGATGTGCATTTATATTCCTGAATAAAACAAAGCTGTGTTCACTTTGAATAGATAATGCTGTGAAAGGGAAATTTAAAGGTCCAAGATTTATTGACTGAGTGAATGCAGCATCGCATTAGTCACTAAAAGAATGGAACATTCTTTATACTGTAGTAAAGTAAAGAGTCAGCAAGACAGCTAAGACAATAGCATTTTTGGATCAAGTGAATGACCTCTATGATTTTCCCAAGACATCTAATTTTTTTAACAACCTTTAGGGCTAATTCACACCAAGCGCGTTCCAGGAGCAGAGCAGAGCAGTTACAGACCGGATCAAAACTGCATCCAATGTATTCCAATGGTATTTTGGGCTCTGGTTCACACCGCAGCGTTCAGTTCCAGAGCATGTAAAAAAAACTGCAGCAAGCCCTATTTTACCTGCTCTGGAACGCATGCAAACGCATCAAAAATGTATGCAAACGCCCTGGAACGCACTTAAAGCCCATTTTAAATCAAAAATGGCCCGGAGCGCATCAAAAACGCGGCAAAAAACGCGGTATAACACACTGCACTGTGTGTGCAGAAACTCATGCAGATCTGGTCTGCATTTGGTGTGAACAAGCTCTAAGCATTTGCCCAAAAACAAAGTAGACCAGTTGTGATGAAGCCTACTAGGAACCGCAATACTGAAAATACTGTATGTATGGAAGAGGAAAAGACATTTTGTACGGCAACAAGTTAAATACTGTCATGCTGTCATGCAGAAATCAGAGAATGTGTCTGCTTGTTGTAAGCAACACCTTTGCTTTAATTTGCCAGTTGTTCTGGCAAGACCCATCAATGTTCTTGCAGAGGATTATAATTTATTTATAATTTAGGACTGATTTTTATTTTCCATCAAGAGTATAGATGTATAATTCTTCCACCCAGTGTATATCTGGGCAAATACCACTCACACAGCACTACCAGCACGAACTGGCCCTGAGGAGTATTTGAATTTCCTATACTGCTCAGCTCCATCTAGTGGCGGTAGTGCCATGTGAGCAGCATTTGCCCAGATATACGCTGGGTGGAAGATTTATAAATCAGCTTCTTAGTGATGCCTTAAAGGGAAAAATATTATTCCATAATATGTAAGTGGCTCATAAACTACTGACTGCAAGGCACACGTGCTTGCGTACCCGACGTGCACTTTCTCAGGACATTAGCTGCCCTAGCTGAGGTAGCCCTTGTATTGCCGACAATGCCTTGACTATATTTGTTTATTGATTATATGTTTCCCCATCTGTTTGAATGTAACGTTGTAAACCTCAAAATAAAGAATTTATAAAAAAATATATATATTATTCCATTTATTTATATATTTTAATTTTTTAATCTTCATCCATGAGAACTAGACTACTTGAAAGTCTATAGCATGCAGAAAATCTACATACAATCCATTATATCCTGACACTTTGATAACATCAGGCCAGTCTTTTATCTCTATTTATGTGCAGCTATTGTGCCACGTTTTAAGATACAACATGCAATCACTAAGGAGAAGAAGGTCAATTCATTACTTTTCTCTAAAGCTCCTTATGAGGTTGAAGAACAATTGCACTGCCAGATGTAAATGAAGCCAGCCTTTCAGATGCAGGTTTAAAAAGTGGATGTGCTACCATCATGTTTTTTTTTTGTTTGTTTGTTTATTCCACATTATATTCATCCTAAAGTGTGTGTGTGAAGTCTAACAATGAACTTCTCTTATTTGCTCCTATTTGGTTGGTTACATTTTCCAATGAAAGTGTGTTTTGTTATACCTGTTCAATAAGTGCAAAAATGCCTGTTGATTCTTCCAGAAATCTTGTAAGCTGATCACTTCCTATGTGCCTCTGCTGCACTGTTCAGTAAGCTCTCTGTGGACTGCAGAGCAAACCCCTATTTTTTTTAGAGATGTGGAGAAGGGGAGGTGTTCTCTTGTCCTATGACATTTTCTGCCCTTGTGTGACTGTGCTGCTCTTCCATTGATAGGGTATGGTAAGTGACTATAAGTGTTTGGGCAAATTGTAGATACTTTGCTGGGCAATAGATAATTGTTTGATCTGGATTCATCATTGAAAAAAAGTTTGAGAATTTAATACTACTTTAATAGGTTTTTCCTATGCTCTTCAGCTCCATCTAGTGGACATAATTCTGTATTTTCCTGATATTACATTTAACCTGGAAAGAAAATATGCTAATAAAGTTTGTTTTTGCCTCTATTCGCAGAGAACAAAAAAAAGGGCAATTTCACAGAACAAATGGCTCTGCAAATTGTTCATAAATACACCCCATAGAGTGAGCAATCCCATAGAGAAAGAGCATAGTAGTAGTAGCGTGGTGCCAAACCATACATTTATAGCACAAAGAAAGAATGATGGCTATGCTGGGCAAGAGTGTGAAGAAGTATTTAATGCTTGAGCGTTTTAGCCTTCTGATCCATGCACAGGCTCCTTATCATTAGGTCGGAGAAGAAATTCTGCTATGCAGCTGTTAGCTCATATACTGCCATGCCTTCAAAGATTTGAATGAACAGAGTTTTCAATGCCGCCTGCAGAGACCTGAAGAAACATAACATTTAGCTGAATAAATCACTGTTTAGGTAAATGGAGGACCCAGACACTCACTTAATTCAGATCCGCAAAGGACACCGAATAGAACAGATGGTTGTAAGATGGCTACGACGGTCACGAGATAATTCATCCCGGTAAGCTTAGTATAATCCATTTATTTATTAACTCCTTAATCTCCAATCAGTTACCTTTATGCCACTGGTAGATGCAGGGGTGGACAAAGTACAGAAAGACCTCATGGAAGAGGAGTTTAATTTTGAAGTAAAGTAATGACAAAGACAGTCTTGCAATGCCTCATGGGACTTTCCTCATGGGACTTTCACAACACAACAGCTGGTGTGCCGACCCCTGATATAAGAAATGGCGTGGCGTCACAAGAGGGGGGGCGGGGGGTGCGGCCCGCACCCGGGTGACTCCATTGGAGGGGTGACACCAAAATGACTCAACGTCATTTTGGTGTCACCCCCCTCTGAAAAATCAGTATCAGGCAGACAGTATCAGGAGAGAGGAGGGGACCCGGCCGCATACCTTATCCCGCCGGGACGACTGTTCCCTCCTCTCTCTGCCGGCGTCCATCACCAAGATGGCCGCCGGCAAGTATCAGAATACTGCCGCGCGTGCGTGATGACGTCTCGGCGGGGTGGCACTCGGTTACCGCTCCGGGTGCCACCCAGGCTCGGGACGCCCCTGATTACTACTAAAGGAATGTCGACACTGCACCTTTCCCTATTACAACCCAGGAAGCCCACCAGCAGGTTATGCTGAACCCAGACCCTCCCATTAAGGAATCAGTTTGGAAAAGACATGATGCAACAAGTAGAAATCTGCAAAAGTTGGTTAAAATCCTTGTAATGTACACAGATCACCCAGAGGATTTCTTTTCTTTTCTCAACAAAAGTGGAATTACTTTTCAAGTTGTTTAATCAAATACAATATATTACACTCATGCTAAACTTATTGACTGTGATTGATTGATTAGATTGTCAGTTCCAAGAACATACAGATATAACATAAAAAGCACTAGGTTGACCACAGATACAAAGAAAAACAAAAGAAACCTAGACATTTGAACTCTCATTTTCCATACGCCGGTCATACAAAAAATAATATCAAAGAATTGCCATAGTCCCGATTATCAGTCCTTGCATAATCTCTGCAATGTTATGCCTAACTCCCCAATTAGCTCAATACGTAAGAATTAAACAGATCTCAGTGTCCTGCTCCTGCCAAGTCTTTTTAATAAAATTTGGGAAGCATAGGATAGCTGACTCTCCTCTGTAAAGTCATGTTTGGTGGCCTATGTACTAATACCTATTAGTACACTATTAACCTTCTTACCCTGTTCCTGTGACAGCTTGCTTTTATGCAAGTTTGCATATAATGTACCTCTTTTACTTTCAATAGGTCATGTACACCAGAAATACCTAAGAATACCTGTGTTTTTAAACTTTTTTGGTCATATTTTCTTGTTTTGTGTGCAAAAATATACAATAATAACCCCCCCCCCCAACACACACCCAAAACAAAATGTTTTCCTCTTCCAGTGCTGACAGCTCGCTGTTCTCCCTGTTCTGTTGTTGCTGCTGCCATCTTCACTGCTGCATCTTCTACATCTAACATCTTCTCTCTTCAACACCTGGGAGGCCACTGATGATGGAACGTCTGCACATACTCAACAAAGTTACATTGTTCCACCACCCAGCACCATATTCAGCATCTAACAGAGTACACTGCACTATGGATGTGCCAAAAGAAACATTGAAAGTCTCGTCTAACAATACGTTTTACTTAGTAGCAATTTGTTCAATCTTTAATTGCACTTTAATATAATATCCTTTATTTACTATATTTAAGACATAAGATCTGATGTTGGCAACATATTTATTACTCAGTTTAGCATATAAAAAAAGGACCCTATAGACTAAACTTTTCTAAACTAAAAGAGGAATTATATTCACTTCTGCAGGGATACATGAGATAATTAAGTTGGGGTAATGTACAATAACTGGTGCCAAAGCGGCATTGGTGTATATAGCAATCTTAATGGATATGGCTTTTAATTCGATTTAAATTGTCACTCCATTTGCTACTGTGTTTATATGTTTTATATCAATTTGATTGTTTGCTATAACTGCTCTACTTTTTTTTCAATTCAAAGAATTGTTATTCAATTTTAACGATACCAAATATGAAAGAGGCATTGTAATAAATGACTGTATAAGGAATGTAACATATACAACAACTGCTCTACTTTTGATCATCTTTCTTTGCTCCGTGTTTTGGAAAACCAGGCTCAGATTTGAATTCTCTTAATTGCTGTGAGAATACCAAATATAAGATTTGACTGGTTGCTGTACAAATCTCCTCACTTTCTCCTTGCTTTCATATAGCAAACTCAGTTTAAGGTTGTAATGTAAAGAATGTAATTCAGATATGCAGTAAACTCATTTAAAACCATATACTCCATTGATAGCAGTAGCATTTCATTCATTGCTGCTGCTAATCCTTCCAGCTCATTTCTCATTTCTTGTATTGTTTTCTACACAGTGCTAGGGTCTCTACTGGAGAGGGTCCGCCTATTGGACCAAATCAGTATGGTTGCTCCTTGAAACTAACAATAGAGATAAAAAAGGATGCTTACTTTGAAAACTATGGCTTTGATATATCTCCAAATCTACCCCTTACTGTTACAGTTGTCAATGCAGGTAAGTGGTTCTATTCTTTTGAAATAAAGAGTGGCATGGCCTCAAGCTTTATATTGTGCACAAAATATATTATTTAAATGCATTCTAAAAATAAAGTAAGGCAAAGCGTGTGAACTGGAGGTTTCGCGTGAGCACATATTTTGTGTGATTATTGTAGGTTGTACCCTTTTTGGTGTGATTTTCACTTCTTTATCTATTGCTCTTTCCTATTTTTATTTTTGTTATAAAAATAAAGATTTGAAGATTATATAAGATATCAATCACAAGGGAAATGTATTGTTTTTAGTGTGTCTGCTATCTTGCATTGTGAGAAGGAATACTAAAACACAGCCACCATGTAGTGCTGCAAAGAAGGAAGCAGAGTACAGCTACATGCTATCCATAAAACTATTCATTTTTAAACAATAATCTATGTTGAGTTAATTATTTATATTAAGCCAATCTCTTACAATTGTATCTAGAGAACGTTAAAAGGCTTCAAGCCTCAGTGTGCCCTAGTACCATGTGAAATATACTCTTGAATCAACTTGAATATACTCTTGAATCAACATCGGCTTGTACTAACTGTTGTGGAACTTCAAGCCCCAGAACACCATGGCACAATTTACTGCGTAACTACCAGTTCCAAAACCTTCAATTATTTTATATATTTTTCCACTTAAAGTTTTATTGATTTTGTAATAATAAAATTATAGCCAAAAACAGTATAATCAAGCCATGTTCAGGGGAGCAGCCCTGCAAATTTGAAAGAGAGGTCCAGGTTTAAATATGGTAAGAGGATAATACAAAAGAATAAAGGCCAAAAAATTTACAAAAGCAGATAATGTATAAAAGAAAGCCAAGAAAGCAGACCTCATATGGAGGTAGCATTCATATGAAAAAAAAGAGAGGAAAAGAAATCCTGAAAGCAGGTTCCAGTAATACAAACTCAAGTAGAACTAGTAATTTAGATACCTGTAGAGCCTAACATTGTAAAACCAATGATTGAGAAGGGGTAACAGTTAGTAACCTCATATGTAAACCAAAGCTAAAGGAAAAGACAGTAAACTGAATAGGAGAATGGAGGAAGACAGAAATGGATGGGGGAAAGTGTAGGGAGAGAGGGAAAAATGGAGAGGGTAAAGAAAGGGTGCAAAACTGAGATCTCTGGGGAGGATAGGTGTTTCCTAGTATGGTTTGGATCCTCAGAGAAGGCTTGCTCTTAGACCAGTCCCTGGAGCCTTTCTCCACCTCTGCTGCGGCAGTCTAAGGTCTCTGAGTCATCACGTTCTATACAAAGTGTATACCTTTGTAGTTGCCAAGGGACATAACATTGCTGCAGTGGAGGAGGAGACAGGATTCAGGGAGCGGAGTAGCAGCCAGCCGGCTCTGAGGTTTGGGTGAGTATCATTTTTTTTTAGCACCCGGACAAAAATGAGCACTTAACTCTTGCAGTGCAGGGGTAGCCCCACTGCAAGGGTTAAGAACATTTTTGCCCAGAGTTCTGCTTTAATGAACAAATGCATCCCACTCCCTTTTAATAGTTAACTGGTGATCCCGAAGTACGCCTTCTTGTGTTGCTGGAAGACCTAATGCAGGTTCTTACAAACAGAAAGCCTCATATCAGTACAAAGAGGCTTCCAACAGCCACTGTTCAGATTAAACCCTGCCTAGGAAGATTTATAGTGATTGATAATGCAGGATCAGACAGGCAGGAAGATAGACAGCACAGGAAGTACACTCCTATTGCCCTCCTGACACATATCGATGACCTTTTCCACCTTGCGTTTTACAGGGGGTCCAGCTGAAGGGAAGCTTTTAGCTGGTGACCAGATATCTGCAATAAACAATGAAAGTGTGGAAAACATCCATGTTCAGGAAGCAGCTGACATGATCAGGTAATGTATCCTGAACAGTGCCACTGTCTAACGCTAAGTGCAGAGGAGTAGGCTTTTAGTAGTACATTAACTATGCTGGATTATGCATGACACTGGAGAAAAGAATTCCACAACTACCTATTCTAGTTCTTGTGTAACCTGTGTATGCGGAAATTGGGAGGAAATGTTTTTGTATGTTAACATGCTGTTCTTAGATATGTCTAATTTTATTAGCAATAATATTCTATAGATTGTGCATGGTTTAGCTGTCTCCCTACACTTCGATACTATATCATTCAATATACAGTATGATTGCTCGCCAGCGGCACCACTGCAGACAATGGGGTCCCATAGCAACATTTTGATGGGGCCCCCAACAACTTCTCTTTTTTATCACCTGTGACTATTAGAGGGATATTCACAAAGCTGCCGGGATATTCACAAAGCTGTTCGGCTATTCACTTCAGGCTTGTTTGGCTGATTTCAGCCCCGTACATCGGCTGCCTTTGGCTGCACTTCGGTCAGCCGAACATGCTCTGCATGTTTGGCTGAGCCGAAGTGCAGAAGGACTTTGACTCAGCCGATCCAACATCTGGATCGGCTGAGCCAAAGCTCCGGCAGCTCACTTGCTGCCGTTCGCCCCTGTTCTCATAGGCGCCGAACGGCAGTTTGTGAATACCCGAATGCTGCCAAGCGGCATTCGGCTATCCTGCTCGTTACCTCTGCAATTCAATAGCAATTCAATTAAAAGAGTAAAAAAATTAAATAAATAAAGTTGAAAAAATATTTTTTTTAATGTAAATAAATGTTAAATGTAAAAAAAAAAGAAATAAAAAAAAACAACAGTTGGGCGGAGCTAGCAGTGACAGCTAGCTCTGCCCAACTGTTTCCTATTGGCCGGGACCTGCTAGAGTCTTCTAGCAGGTCCCGGCCAATGAATAACAACTGGGCGGAGTTGGCCATGATGTCACTGCCGGCTCTGCCCAGTTGACATTGTTTAATGACAGTTCAGCGTCCCAAGGTCATTTGGGGATGCTGATCTGACATTAAAACTGGGCGGAGCCAGCCATGAGGTCACGGCTGGCTCCGCCCAACTTGTCATTCGCTCTGCTTTGGCTGTCACTTCGGCGCAGTCGAAGCATATAGTGAATAGCCCGTACAGCAGCCCTTCGGTTGGACTGAACTGAAAGGCTCCCGCAACCGAAGCTAACCGAAGGGTCAGCCGAAGCTTCGGCTGATCCTTCGGCTAGCTTTGTGAATAACCCTCTAAGGGGGTGATTTACTAACCTAAACACACACACACACCAGGTGTGTGTGATTTTCACACAGCAAAACGTATTTATCAACCAAAAAGTCTCTAAAAGCATATTTCCATTAATGCCATATATGGAAAAATCATGCACATGATGCATATATAATGCTGCTTCACAGTTGAGACAAAAATGGTTAGCTCATGCATTTACATTCCTGCATTCATCAACGCAAGCAACATAACATAGAGCTAATTTACACCACATTACCTTGCAATTCATTGCAGGGCTTTGCACAACACACCTGCTGGGTGTGTACACACTACAAAGGTGTTTCGATTCCTCCCATAGATCATGCTGGGAGGGAACACACTACATAGGTGTATACACGTTCGTGGTGTGTTTAAAAGGTTAGTAAATCAACCCCTAAGTGTCATTGATCTTAACATGAAGTATGCCAGAATCACGGATAGGCATCAAGAGAGCAGTCATAGCTGAGCTGAGCAGCAGGGTAGGCAATTGACTTTTATTTCCCTTAATTTTCCGGTTAACTACCCTCTCTTTGTAGCTCACCAGTCTTTTTTTCGTAATCAACTGATCTTTTTAGAAATATAATTTGGCGTAGCTAAACAAATGATGCTTGATGTACAGAGAAAGTAAGGGGAGCTGTGACTAGGGATATGGTCAACTGCAACCTCTCTGACCTTAATGATATAGTACTGGATGATATAGTACTGGATCTGTAAGATAGAATTCTGCTATAAATCAGTAAATATATAATTAATTGCATCCATCAAGTACTGACTGTATACAGTACATCATATTAAATATTTTTCTGTGCTGAATATAGAGTGTATAATAAAAATATGTGCAGTGGATCGTATTGTGGATCTTGAACGTTTGTTGGCATTTGAACATGACAACTGCAATTGGTTCATAGTTACTTGGTCCCCTTTCTTTGAGACGATGCCATTTCTTGAAATTGCATCTAAAGAATAGATTTAACTCACACAAGGGAATTCAATATCCCGTTTGTTGCCAAAATTCTGGTGTTAATGCAGCCTGAGAAATGTCTGCGTCAAATTCTAAAACATGTTGCACCATTTTTCGGACCTCTAATGACTGCTACGTCAAATTCAAGTAGTTCTTATTTGTGCCATATTTCATTCTGAAGCTGTGCTTACGGCATATTCAGTAAACAGACTCTGACAGTTTGGTACTAAGAAAGGTAATATAAAGTAAGACCAAGTACTTTTTGGCGTAACTAGTCTCACCTTCATATTGTATATATCTGTCTCAGTATGCAACACATACCTGAGGTGTGACATTCCTTCAAACTGAGGATCCACCTGAAATCTGTCTGTCACATATGTGACACATCTATGTATTTTATCAGTGTGCATATAGATTTGCGCCAAATTCATGAATGCTATGCAACTATGTACATGAGTTTGGCGCAAATAACTACACTATTCCTGTAATCCTGAGACACTTTTCTTATGTGTGCCAACAACACCTTTTTTGAATTCCCCAAAGTGTCCTGACCATGGTGATAGGTGGGTTCTATCCACTTCTTTTCTTCTCTTCCTTATTCTGCTTTTATTCATTTGCTTGCCATCTTTTTTGTAGGGTTTCTTCCTTTCTAATCTCTTTGTTTTTATTTTCTGTTCTTTTTGCTTTCTCTCATTTGCCTGTTTACTTTTTGTTTCATGCTTCTTAGTTTGTTACATTTGTCTAGTTTAGATGTTATTTGAAGACTGGCAAGGATCGTCATACTGATAACTGGCCACCCTTGGGGTAGGCCCTTGCAGTACCTTCTATTTATTTTTTGATGTAATGGTGGGTGAATAGCCCCTGCATTGTTTTATCAGCTCTAGAGTATGGCCTACATGGGTGGCTCTCTGTGTTCTCTGATGCGAGTTTCTTCTATATATCCTGATCTTAGAATGTAATGGTGCTTTTAAAAATCTATCTCTACGTTGCTGTATTTTATTTGCATATTACCCTTTTGGTTGTTTCTTTCTTTAAAGCTAAGATAATAAAATTGAGATTGAACTAAAAATATATGTGCTTATTTTACAGGGATTCTGTGGACAACCTTAACATAACAGTTTTTCGAAGTACCTCAGTAAGTATTAATCTGTGCATTTGTTTGTAGTTTTATTTGACTACACATAAAGGGACCTTATTTGTGTTTTGCATTGTATGGTTTATTTTAGGGGTAGGCAACCTCGGTACTCCATCTGTGGTGAATCTACAAATCCCATGAGGCATTGCAAGACTGACAGGGCCACAGGCATGACTTCCAGAGACATGATGGGCTTCGTAGAATCACCGCAGCTGGAGTGCCGAGTTTATCTACCCCTGGTTTATGTGATGCGAATGGTGTAGTCTCTGAAATCAATTTGTTTGACTTAATGGATGGACTAGTGACAACATCAGGCTGTGGAGCAAACTGCACTCTTTTTGTCAAGTAAAAAAAAGTCGACAATATACATTGCAAGTAAATAAAACTAACTGCTGGAAGACCTGACCCATCTGCACTCTGAACTAATCGTGGATCTTATTCCTTGCCCGACTGTACCATGCACATTATACAGGGATGTTGGAAGTGCTACTGTGGTAGAAGATTAAACATATGCAAGTGCACAGAAATGACAAACAAGAAATTCTTGTGTACAGATTGAGTACTTAGGGGGAAAAGGGGCAAACATTTTGGTTTGCATGGTCCTATGGAGCCACCCTTGTGCTTGCTAGTAAGCAGTGTGTGTTTCTCCATAGACACACAGACATAGCAAGGCAAGGCCCTCTACTGCTCTCCACTCCTCCCTTCCCCAAGCTGGTTGATGGACAGCTGCTGGAGACTGTGCTCTCCCTTGTGGTCCTGTATTGGACAGGAAGTTCAGGGAAGCTGAGAGAGTTGGAGCCAGCTGTTTGGAAACATGTAAGTGCTTGAGTGAAAATTTCAATAAATAAATAACAACAAAATTTACACTAACATAAAATTGGTGATATGGGAATCAATTCTCCAGGTTAGAGCTTCAGCCCAGATGGAGCTGTTTTGCTCTTTATTCACAATTCTTATAAAGTTTGCACCAGTCCTACATTCTGGTTAGTCTCCCTTGTGATGTGTATCTCTATAGGTTGAACTCGATGGACTTGTGTCTTTTTTCAACCTGACTAACTATGTGCTGTTATTATTTGTGAGTTTTGGGGATCCCGGAGTGCCTGCTGTATGATCCTAGGGTTACTTTAGAAGCTAAAGTGAGCCCACATGTTCACTTCCATTGAGGTATTTGAAGAAGTTCCCTTATCTTTATACATATGAACTTAAACTGGCCATGCACATTACAGTTTAAAAATACAGTCTCTATACAATCTTTTTTAGATTTACTAAAATGATGTTATCTGAAGGCCTACCAAAAATCAGTTCAAATTGTATCTAATTAGGTAAGCACTATATAGTCATTGGTAGATTTAACCCCTTCATGACTGAGCTAGTTTTCAGGTTCTGTTCATAAATGACTGACACATTTTTTACATTTTTGCTGTGTGATTCTTCCACAGCAGTAATATACTTTCTTACTAAATGTACCCACACATATTATATATTGTTTTTTAGAGGACAGATAGGGCTATATAATTATATCACATATGTGTACCTAACCCCTCACTTAGTTTGAATAAAATAAAAAAAATGAGGAAAAAAACTAGAAGAAAACACTTTTTTCACAAGTTTTGATTATTATTTTTTTTTTTTAGAATTTTTTTATATTAATTATAGTATAAAAAATATATTTATATATAATTTATATTTTCCTAATTTTGTTTTACACTTTATTTTAATTTTTTTACACTTTGTAAAAAAAATAAAAATAAAAAACCTTTTTTTTTCTTGTCAGTTTATATCAAGCAATCACTATGACAGCTTGATAAATTAACTTTTTTATTTTATTTTTGGCTATTAGGCTGATCCAAACTTAGGAACAGCTAATAATAACCTTAGAGACTGATCCTGACTTTAGTCAGATTCAGATCTCACTAAAAGCTCTTTGATCGTGCCTAGACGATCAGAAATGATACATTTCACTCAAAAGAGATACATTGTATCCTTTCAGTGAAATGTATCCAAACATCGGGCTCTCGAGCTGTCAAAACAAATAGCAGAGAGGTGAGGTGAGTCACTGCTGCCTCTCTGCTATTTTGAGCTGTCAAATACGGGATCGCAAATTGCGGTCCTCTATTTGCATGTAACGGCTTCATTCTTTCATTAATGAAAGGAAGAAGCTTTTACAAAAAGCTTAATTATTTCATTAATTAATGCCTCAATACTGAGACATTAATGAATGACTGTTAAATGCTGAGAATCAGCAAATACCGGCATTACAAAGCCTGATATAACTCGTCACGTACAGTGTACGTGGCCAGTCATATAGGCACAAAGTGACAAGACGTACACTGTACGTCTCCCGTCACGAAGGGGTTAAAGGAGGTTGTACAGTCAGACTGTTATTTGTATGGTCAGAATATGCAGAGGTATAACTATAAATCATGGGTCCCCATAGCAAAACTTTGGGGCCCCTAGGCTAACTCTCTCTGTAGCAGCTGGCAGTGTCAACTGTGACAATATGTGCCATTCATCTTAACATGAAGTACGTATCAAGGACAGGCAGCAGGAGAGCTGCAGCCTTTCAATTCTAGAAACCTCACAGTTTAGTTTTCCTGATTGGCCCTCCTAATGGGGCCCCCTTCCACCCCAATATGTAACTGACATGAGTTTGCAATAAATCTACGAATTTTGATCCTATAAGGATTTGGTGTGCTGGTGACGTTTCTGCAATTATCTGTATTTGGCGGCGCCATCCGCAGTCATTCCAAGCACCCCTCCCCTATCACGGGGTCATACCGCTAAGGAGTGCAACTAGCCTTTTCTTTTTTTCCCCTTCCACCCCATTCCCCATATCAGCCACATGGGCTGCTATGTCTGTTGTTATGCCACTGAGCATAAGACATGAATTGCTAGGTAATAACTGCAGAATGACAGCTCGCGTTAACTAACTTTTTTCTTTTTCACACAGAGCCCCAAGTCATCTTTTCTTACAGCTGAAAAAAGGGCCAAATTAAAAAGTAATCCGGTAAAAGTGAGATTTGCAGAAGAGGTGATCGTCAATGGGCACACTCAGGTTAGTGGGCTTTTGTAGCATACTGTAGGTACACATATGCTGTACAAGTGTTTACAGTCTGTGGATATTTTTATGATTCATTCACACCTGCATTTTTCTTTTGGTTTGGTATGGTTTTTATTGTGTTTTACATGTGGAACCATTTATCAGTAAGGAAGATGCACTTGTAAAATACATCAAGATTTCAATAAGTAGGTTTTTTTAAAAAGCATGTATCACATTGAAACATGTATTTGTGAACTGCACCTAACAGAGCCAACTTCATGTTAATATTACAGCCTTAAATTTATGTCTTGCTTCAAGGTAATGCATGCAGTGTAATATGTATTTTATATATTTTCATTTTTTAATCAAATATTTTATTTTAGCCATCTATAACTAGGAGGTATTGCGCTTCAAGAAAGAGCAGCAGCTTCATCCATCTCATTCTACAGCTGTACTGTGAAATGGACTTGAACAGAAGGGAGATCAGATTATATAGACTTTAAAGTGACACACCAATGCTCCCTTTGGCCTAATAGAACTGTCTTTCTATAACAGTGTTATAGAACTGTCTATATGTTATAGAACTGTCTATAACAGTGTTATAAACACTGTGCTTCCAAGCATGTAGGATGTGCTGGGCTTTCCACAGTATGTTTTGCATAGCAGGGAGATCACATTAGATTGAAATGTGACACACCAATCCTTCCTTTGGCCTAGTAAGGCAAGGACTGTCTTTCTTTGTTATAAACGCTGTGCGTCCATGCATGCAGGCGGTGCTGGGCTTTCTTATTAAAAACCACAGTATGTTTTGCATAGGAGGGAGATCACATTAGATGGAAAAGTGACACACCAATCCTTCCTTTGGCCTAGTAGGGCCAGGACTGTCTTTCTTAGTTACAAACACTTTATCAAAATGGGAATTTATCAAAACTGGAGCAGACAAAATCTGGAGTAGTTGCCCATGGCAACTAATTAGCTTCTTCTCCTCAGTCTGTTCAGTTAGGATTTGAAAATGAAAGAGAGAAGCTGATTGGTTGCTGTGCACAGCTGCTCCAGATTTTGTCTGCTCCAGTTTTGATAAATTCCCCTCACTGTGTTTCAAAGCATGCAGGAGGTGCTGGGCTTTCCTATTAAAAACCACAGTATGTTTTGCAAAGTAGAGTCAGTAGTTAACTACAAATATTTTTTTTATTCAATCAAATATTTTAATTAAATGAAGAAAAAATTATAAAAATACAATTAATAAAAATACTTATAATAAAAAAATGACATTCCCTTTAAGTATGGGGTTTTGCTCTGTTTATTATTTGTCTTGCTATACTGTCTCTGTATCATTAGATGTCTTATCTTACTTATTTCCTGAGAATATTGTGGACCTCTGCCCCTGTCAATTTCCAATTACTTGCCATTACAGTTTTGTAATTTACTGTAAAATGGATTTCCTAGTATTGCAATCTTGAAAGCAGATATAATCTTGGTTAATGGAATATGGTCTTGTCTAAGGAATTTCCGTGCATGTTTACATGAATATCTTGTATCCCACCTTCTAACATGGTCATTCTGTTGTAGGGGAATTCAATTCTTTTCATGCCCAATGTCCTTAAAGTCTACCTGGAGAATGGTCAGACAAAGGCTTTTAAATTTGAGAAGAAAACGACTGTGAAGGTATAAATATATTATTTTCAGCTACAGTTCATCCAAATATACAAACACAAAAACACTACTGCAAAATGGCATGTCATTTATTTTCAGTTATGTGTAATAATATTGAAGTCCTATTTACGCCTATCGGTTGCAGTGCATTACAGTAACATACGCAATATTGCAACACACAACAACACACCACACAAGCGTTAGTGTACTGTGGTGCTATTGAGCGCTCCTCCAACACATGCATTACAGTGCACAGCAGTGCATTGCTGTGTGTTGTGGTGCACTTGTGTCACAAAAAAATGGTGCTTGTATTTTTTTTTTTAAATTCTTGAGACAGTCCAATGGATTTCAGGGCTTTTGTATGTTTTTAGCTGGTTAATTCAGTTTATTTTTGACTGAAGGATAGGGTTGTTTAGAGTCATTAAGAATTAAAGTGACACTAAACTCAGGAGTTAAATCTTAAAAATGCATTTGACTATTAACAAAACTAATAACAAAACTATTAACAAAAATGTATCTTATTTGTGTATCACTCAAATCATCTCTGAATTGGTGCTGACACTGTCCTTCCTTCTGGAGGGTGGGTACTTTTGTTCCCCATGGTCCCTGTGTGTGTTGTAAAGTAGCCACCACTCCCAAGATCACTCCTGTGATGGACTACATACAAATGAGCTAACTACATGTAGGATTGTAGTCCATCACAGAAGCAAGCTTGGAGCGGTGGCAACTTTACAACACTTACAGGGACCATGGGGAACAAAAGTATCCACCCTCTAGAATGAAGGGCAGTGTCAGCACCAATCAGAGATGATTTGAGGATCTACAGCCGAGTGATACACAAATAAGATACATTTTTGTTACAAGTTAAGGTACTTGAATGTATTTTTATGATTTAACTCCTGAGCTTAGTGTCACTTTAAATGTTTTAAGTCATGTTGATGTATGCAGTGTATATAGCTATGTGCTCTTTGAAAAAAATATTGTCTTTTATTCAATAAAGTGAACTAGATTTGACTATTTCTCTGACACAATTTGGATTTGTTTTTAGCAGTGCAGATTATTTTCTTTTAGAGGGTAATTTTGACAGTGTGTTCATGTAGTTTGTCCCTCTTCTCTTGCACGCTGCAGTGACATGGGTTCTTTTGTGTTTGGTATTTCAAAGGCAGGTCAAAACCAGGAAACCATCACAATTGCACATTAACCCCTTATACTCACCTGTCACCAAACCACAATCTTTTTGGCTGGGCCCACGCACTCCCTATGCACTCTTCATTTATTCCTGTGGAGCTTGTAAGTATGAGCTTGGACTCCGTACTGACTCTCCACAGGGACAAATAGAAGTGCAGAGTGCAGGTTTGGCCAAGAAGATTTTAACACGTGGTTGTGTCATCTAGTGGGTATTCTCGCTGGATCAGGGACAGGTGCATAGAGGACAAGGGTGGGGTTGCAGTTATACTTTAAGTTTGAACACTTTCATTAAACTGATTTGAATAAGTAACATTGAAATATTCAAATATAGAAGACAGGCTGACAGAATGAATCTAAGCTCAGATGAGGCTATATGGGTTAGGATTACTCCTTTTAAATGTGTAGGACGGGAAGAAGGGACTGAAAAAAATATGTGGAGATGGAAAACAGAAGAAAAGGTAGAGAAGAGGGAGAGGATTGGGTATCAGCCTGATGGAGAAGTTAATTATGCCTTTTAGCCATTAAATAAAGTAAACAACCCCAATTGCTTTCCGCCTTTCTGTTTTTTGTCAGATTTCACACTAGGAAGAGACCAGGAATGCATAATCACAACTGCTAATAATTAGGCTAATCACATTTTAATTATGCCCAGATGTGCTTAGCATTTCCAGTGTAATTAAATTAATTCTTAGAAAAAAGGAAAAGTTTGATTGACTTCATGATATTTATTTGTTCTTGCAATGTTATATTGAGCGATACCCACCTCGAAATGTTATTGATGATAGAAGACTTATGAGATCCCTTGTCCAGAATCCCGTGGATCAGAACATTTCTAGTAACCATTTGGTTTGGTACTTGTCTTCAGACCTGTGTTCAATATTCATTAAGGGTTGGGTTACCCCTCAAATCTACAGTACATTCTAAGCTGAGATTTTACTGTTCACTGATCACATGCATATCTGACATTGTACTTATCTGAACGTTTGCTTTAAATATCTAACAATTATACATTGTTAAAATTATGTTTCATCTCAGGACATTATCATGACCCTCAAGGAGAAATTGTCAATCAATGTAATTGAGCACTTTGCACTAGTTCTAGAAGAGCAATATAACATCTCAAAGCTTTACCTTCTTCATGAAGAGGAGCTTATGGAACAGGTACATTTGGAATAATCACAGACAATGGCAAAGAAAATGTAATGTTTTTCTGTCTTGTGGAAAAGGCACTGTGACAATATGCAGGCATGGGTTTTCCCTTTCTAATATTCCGCCTTACAGTCTAGCTCCCGTCAAAACTTTCTTCATAGTGTTGGAGCTAGACTGTAATGATGGATGGAGCGGGTTAGAACCTTTGTCAGGTCTTATTGCTAACTGTGTCTTCTTTGAAGATATTTCCCCTCAATTCCTGTCCCTGTGACCATACACAGGAAGTGGGAAGAATGTGCCCAATGGGCAGGGAAGGACTAGGATTCTTTAGCCTGTGGGGTAAACATAACCAACTGGTCTTTTCACAGACTACATATGGGTCTTACCAGTGGCGGACCTAAGGAACAAAGGGCCCTGGTGCAAGATTTTTTCTCAGGCCCCCCTTCCCCCTTCCGCTCGGGGGGAGGGATGGGGGCCCTGGACTGGATCTCGCTGGCCCCCCATATGGAGCAGGGGCAGATGTGGAGGATGGAGAAGGGGCAGATGAGGATGGAAAAGGGGCAGATGAGGATGGAGCAGGGGCAGATGTGGAGGATGGACCGGGTCAGATGAGGAGGATGGAGCAGGGCAGATGTGGAGGACAGACCAGGGGCCGATGTGAAGCACAGAGCAGGGGGCAGATGTGGATGGAGCAGGGGGGCAGATGAGGAGGACAGAGCAGCGGCAGATGTGGAGGACGGAGCAGGGGCAGATGTGGATGGAGCAGAGGGGAGATGTGGAGAACAGAGCGGGGGGAGATATGGAGGACAGAGCGGGCGCATATGTGGAGGACGGAGCAGGGGCAGATGTGGATGGAGCAGAGGGGAGATGTGGAGAACAGAGCGGGGGGAGATATGGAGGACAGAGCGGGCGCATATGTGGAGGACGGAGCAGGGGCAGATGTGGATGGAGCAGAGGGGAGATGTGGAGAACAGAGCGGGGGGAGATATGGAGGACAGAGCGGGCGCATATGTGGAGGACGGAGCAGGGGCAGATGTGGATGGAGCAGAGGGGAGATGTGGAGAACAGAGCGGGGGGAGATATGGAGGACAGAGCGGGCGCATATGTGGAGGACGGAGCAGGGGCAGATGTGGATGGAGCAGAGGGGAGATGTGGAGAACAGAGCGGGGGGAGATATGGAGGACAGAGCGGGCGCATATGTGGAGGACGGAGCAGGGGCAGATGTGGATGGAGCAGGGGGCACAGCCGTAGGAAGCACGGGGAGGGTAGGGGGGAGAAGCTGTGAAAAGGAAAATAAACTCACCGAGCAGTCAGACGCGCCGCGGGTCTCCCTCTGCAATGTCAGGCGGCAGCTGCTCCCTCGGTCCTCAAGCCCCAGGCTCCAGGGCTGCCCTATTAGCTGCCCATTAGATGTTGTGTTCGCCACACGGCCTGCTTGTCACTGCCCGGCGCCCCCTCACTTCCAACTCAGTCGGCCCCCCTACAGCCGTGGGCCCCAGGGCGGCGGCACCGGCTGCACCGCCGGTAGTTCCGCCCCTGGGTCTTACCTGCATGCGAAGATGGCAATGCAATTTGAAAGCAGCAATAACCAGTTTGCAATAAAAGAAAACAAATACAAGAAAACTGTTTATAACTAGCGATGAGGCTGAGCTTGGTGTGAACCCAGTTCACCTGAGTTTGCCGAAGCACACATTTAAAACTCTGACCACCACCCTTTCCTCCTGACCCAGAAACCCAAACTGGGTTTGCGCCAAGCCCAGCTTTATCAATATTTATAGAAAAATTACTTTCTTTCATGCAAATAACATTTTTACATGTATACCAACTATGAATATAGCCATATATAACAAGTAATACATCCATTGAATAAAATAACAAAAAATGTAAAGGTAAGTTTGTAAAAATTTGAAATATCAAAAAATGACTTTAAGGTATACTTCACAATAATGTAAAATAAATGAAATAAATGATTCTTTACATAAAACAGCATGAGATTTCAGTGTTGTCTTTACAAATTGTTAATCCATCTCCTCTATGGTGCCCTCACTTCCTGTCCTGGTGATAGAGTATAGCCAGCATAGGAAGTGATGAGATATCTTTCTGATGGAGATGTAGACAACCCAAAAGAGCATTTATTTTGCAGAGGGTGAAAATGGTGGAAAATTTGAAATGTTTAATTGCTCTCTGTGTCTTCATATTCTGGTGACACCTGCACCCTCTCATTTCTTGTCTTTGATTCATCAGGACAGGAAGTGAGAAGCTGTCTTCCCCATTCAGAAAAGAGAGAGCAATAAAAATATACAAAAATGTAAAAGCACGACTTTACAGAACAGAGAGCACCTGGATGAAGGTGTCTTTCCCTAAATTTTCTCAGTAAAGGAACAATTATTTTTCAATACACCAAAACATCGAACAATTATGAGCCTGGTTATAAAGCAGCAATATGGCCTTACAAGCACCGTGTTTTCCAAACATATTTAGCGCTTTGCTTGCTTTGAGACTTCAAATTAATAAATGGGAATATAAAAAAAGCTGGGAGGAAGAGACCCCAGTCCCATGACCTTTTAAAGGCATGTGACTGGTCTCTCTGCCAATCACGGAGGGTTCTCCATACCTGCCACATTTAGAACTAGAGAAAGAAGGATACTCTAGGGCAGGGGTATCCTCCTCACCACAGCTGGCACTCCAGCTGTGGTGAAATTACAAATGCCATGATGCATCAGTCTCTGGGAGTCATGTCTGTGGCTGTGAGAATCTTGCAAGGTCTCATTGGATTTGTAGTTTCACAACAGCTGGAGGGCCGGAGTTGGCTCACCTACTGCACTAGGGAGATAAGGACTTGCAGCACACGCAGTGTGGTAAAAGTAGGTGTGATTAAATTAAGTTTAATATTGGGCATGGCTCTGTGTAATCTAAAGCTGGCCATACGCTGCTCAAATTTTGAGTTGTGGATGGCCCTGTTACCACCACTCCATTTGACAAAAATACATTTCTCAATCATTTTTGTCAAAGAAGGTGGACCGAAAATTGTTGAAGGCGCTGTTCGGGTATTCTGACAGTTGCCCCTGCCAGCTGTCTGAAAACAACAGCATGCCATGGGCCATTCCACCATCAAATGTGGCACAAATGAGAGTCTTGCAGACATACATATCCCCCAGCAAAAAAAAGGCATTTAAAAAAATGTAAACTATTATTATACATGCTTTTCTCTGAATTTAGACAGACAGCTATAACTTTAAAAACAGATAGAAAGTGCTCCGGCCATGTATAATATCTCCAATAAATCTTTGTCACTGACCTAGAACAAGTATGCCACAAGTGAAGTTAGACCAACACCTGAACTCATAATCTGTGTCCTTGATCCAGGTCAGTGACCCAGAAAGTATTTGACCCATTACATCAGCATGATAGCCTTTATGTTACTCTAAACAGTAACACAATTTAAAAACAGATAGAGCTCCCACCCCAACTCTATCCAAAACCCCCAAAAAACATTTTGTTGGGCCATCATATTCAGAGACCAAAAAGAAAATAAATAAAAGTATTTTATTCCCTATGAGCACATTAGCATATAAATGTCTCAGTATGGCTCTAGTTTCATATCATTGTTCTCTATTTGTACTGTGTTTTGTTTTTGTTGGAACTGTAAACCAGCACCCCCTGCTGGCCATAATATTAAGCTGTCTGTAAAAAAAAATATTTGTATATTGTACTGTATTCTTCATATTCTGTGAGCAGATGCTTCTGATAAAATATAGTACTGTAAATATCTGTAGGTAACTTGTACATTTGAATTCATAAGATTATGTCCTATAACAGATTACTGTAGGGGGCACTCATATTTTTTCATTGCAGGTAGTACAGAAGAGGGAGTCCCACGACTATAGGTGTCTATTCAGAGTTTGTTTTGTACCCAAAGATCCCTTTGAGCTTCTGCAGGAGGATCCAGTTGCCTTTGAATACCTTTATTTACAGGTGAACACTTGCTATTTTACAAAATACAAACATGCAAAATATTATTTTTCAGGGAAAACAATTACAAACAAAATAATATGCACTTATTGGCCACTTTATTAGGTACACCTTGTTAGTACCGGGTTCAACCCCTGTTGCGTTCAGAACTGCCTTAATTCTTCATGGCATAAATTGAACAAGGTGCTGGAAACATTCCTCCATTAGGTGGACTTCTCTGGCAGGAAGTGCAGATGCATTTATAATAAGGTTTAATAATTAAATTATACGTTAATTTTTTTGGAGAGGACATAGTTGTACAATAGTATTAATAATAACAACGTGTGTGCATCTTTCATTGAATAGTGAGCTTTCCTTTTGCACATTAAAAGAAAATGTTGCTTTGTCTTCATGCATTACAGTCAAATGTCACCCCAGTCACAGTGTAGACCTGCAGCTAGTGTAGGGATGACAGACACACCTCTTATGATATACTGTTGCTGGTAAGACATTTGCCCATATATGTGCAGTCTCTGTCATAGCATGGGTACCTAAGTACAAGACAAGGACTAAAAAAATGATAGTACAATGAACATGATTTAAATTCTATAAAGCTAAGTGAAATACACTTATCCCATAAAACAAATTGCTTTTAACTGACTGGAGGAGTTAAAGCGCAGACAGAACATGCTTCAAATGGAATAATTGAGCAGACTGTTCAGCTATTTTACCCACATAATGCAATATCATATATCATGATGTTTCCTTATGTTGGCTGAAAAAACACAATTAAAGCCATTTATTTGTTAAAAATGCATTACATGCATTGTTTTATGTACAGCTAGTATAAGTACCTGACCTCTTAATAATTATTTCCTGTAATGCTGTCTGGGTCTCCATAGAGGATATTTCTCTTCCTGTTCTGTCTGACATCTGTCAAATGCCAACTGCATAGAGACATGTAAAAGGTAAAAAATCTTTATTATTACTAGGGATGCACCGATACCGTTTCTTCAGTATCGTGTACAGATATTTTTTTTCCCCGATACCAGAAGTTCCATTAGGCAGGCCGGGCGGTATTTAATGACTCGCTGCCCAGCTTACTGATTAGTCAGGAAGCTGGTCCATGCTCCCTCGTCACTGGGTGACAAGGAAGCATGATGCTGGCTTTCTGGCCAATCAGGAAGCCGGGGGGGGCGTGTAATGACCTGCCGCCCGGCTTTCTGATACCAGAAGTTCCGGTATCAGGATAAGTATAAGGAGCATTTGGGCGAGTACGAGTACTCGCCTAAATACTCTGTATCGGGACCGATAATAGTATTGGTGCATCCCTAATTATTATTATTATTCTTTACGCTGTGTGAATGGGAACTCATAACAAACATAGATTGGGGGTTTGCCAATTTTAACTGCAAAAGTGGAAATACACCTTAAAAACGAGTCACTCCCACCTGCCACCCCTCAGTCCAATGACAGTGCCTCAATTAAATTAAAGGTTCTTTCACTGGACTTGGAGGTAGCTGATGGTTGAAGCTTAGCTATGGAGCCAGGGAATCAAGGTCTTAATTACAAAGTAAAACTAGTTTCAGAGGGGTACACTCAGGAGGGTTTTCTGGCTAACATAGGTAACAGGGGTGGCACCCTGCAGTATTCGCTCTTAGGTAAAATATTTCAACTTTAAAAAAGGCTTAGAGTTTTGCTTTTAAATTGTGATCTAAGGGGTGTTTTCTATAAATTGGTCTAATACTGTTCTGTCTCTGAAGAGCTGCAGTGATGTGCTTCAGGAGAGATTTGCAATGGAGATGAAATGCAGTGTTGCTCTACGTCTGGCTGCCTTGCACATACAGGAGCGAATTCACACTTGTGGTCAGTCACAGAAGATATCATTCAAGTATATTGAGTAAGTAGGAATCTGGATTCTTTACATATGACTAGACCTCAGCAGATCATTTTTTCTGTGGTTGTATGCAGGAATATTACATTCTTAAAGAATAACTCTTTTAAGCAGTGCATTAGGGGAACCCATGAGAACAATAATACTGCAATATTAAAAACTTGAGTTGCTTAATTGTTTTTGAAGGTACAAATTCCATTATTCATTCATCATGGCTTGGCTAGCAAGGGAGTGAGGTGACATTCACTTCCTGAAATTTAAATATTTGTAGTAAAGCAGATTTCAAAAAACAAAAACTGTTTTGCTGGAGTTCTGCTTTAATGAGGCTGGCAACATTATAACACATGACATTAAAGGAGAATTATGAGGCGAGTGATTTTCACTCAGCCTCATAATCTGAGCCAACCTGTGACAATGAAACTGTCACACGTCGGCTCAGTAGATCGGGAAGTGAGCGAACACATACCGTCGCTCGCTCACTTCTCGATCATGTCCATGCAGAGAGCCGTGACTGTCACTCACAGCTCCCTGCAGGGATTCCCCCCTCCCCTGTCCGATCCTCCAGCGATGACTGGCAAAACAGATGGGGGAGGGGGCGGGCACAGCTGGCTCTGCCTCTGGATAGGCAGAGCCAGCTATCAATCCCGCAGCTGGGCTGATCCAGACATTATTGTCGGGATCCGTCCTGGCTGCGGCGCCTCGGTATACCGCGAGCTGCAGCTTGCGGTATACTGAGCTTTGCGTCTTGGGAGAACGCTAGTTTGTGTTCTCCCGTGACCCTTAGGAGAACTATAGCGAAAATCCCTGACTCCATAGTTCTCCTTTAAGTCTTGTAGCTGCTGCTCTGCTTGATTGACAGAGACTATTACAACTGTGACAGCAGAGCAACCACTTGTTATTAGTGTGGACGCTGAAATTGGTGTACTGTAATTACTTCCAGTAAGGTTTAAAGCACATTCAACCAGAACAGAAAATACCATAAGAACATTCAATTTTGCCCCAATGTAGCAATGGCTAAATTGAGTGCAGGTATTCATTGCTTTATAAGCTCCAAGAGGCTCTCATAGACTAGAGATAGGACCACACATAGAGATATTGACGAGGCAATGTGGCTTCCAAATATTTTGTAAAAGTTGTACAACTAAAACCTCTGTTTTTATTGCAGAGTGTTAGGCAGTTAGATGTGTTATTTTGCAAGCTATCTGGTAGTTTTTTTGTATTTGTAGTATTTTTGTTTGCACATGATTGGATGATGGAAGCCAGCAGAACTTCATTAAGTTCACTTCACTAAGTTAAGGAAAAATTCCTTTGCAAAGTGAATAGCCTATTTGCCTGTGACTGTGTAATGCACTATGTATAGCAACATCAATAGCACTATTCTGCACTAGTTTTGCATGCAGTTCACTAGGCAAAATTGAGAATTTCTGTTTTGGCAATATTTTGCCAAAAGTGTAATTTCACCTCAAAAATAAATTTTCCCGAACCAATTCACTCATCCCCAGAGGTCAGCATTGACAGTGTCCATGTTTCTGTCAGGAAAATCAATACATGTGTTTAGCAGTTAAGTTACTTGTAGGATCAGAGATAGAAGAACTGCAGGTTAGAGATAAGCAAATGAATTTGCATTTAATAAGCGTCGACACTGAGAATTCTCATATTTTGCCTGATAGCATTCATTATTTTACTGTTCCTCTCCAGTGTAGGTTTGAACTTGGTTCATCATTGTTAGGATTGACATTTCTTATTCTTGATATTATATTAGATGCATTCTGTTGCTTGTATCTTGATCTGGAATCAGCAGTTGTAAAACAGTCTACTAAGATCGTAGCTGTTCAAGATTCAAGTTATTTAAAGCTTGCTCATGGTCCTGGGTCACATTTTAAAAACAGAATGCTCCTCCACCTATTAGGGCTAGTTCACGCCAGCCACAGTGCATACCGGCACGATTCAGTGCCAGAGCGCACTGGATCGCATCCTGGGCGGCTCACTGCATTCTGGGGCGGGAGGGGGTGGCGATGCATTGAAGTCAATGGCACCGCAGCCAAGCCCCCCGGCCGCAGTGCAATCACCCTCACTGTGCCACACGTTCCGGTGCGGGCAATCGCACTGCGGCCAGGGGCGTGGCTGCGGTGCCATTTACTTCAATGCACGGCCACGCCCCCTTCCGGCCAAGAATGCAGTGAGCGGGCCGGGATGCAATGCAGCGCATTCTGGCACAGAATCAGGCTGGAACGCATTGGGGCTGGTGTGAACTAGCCCTTAACCTAAACCAGCCTTTCTCAACCAGGGTGCCCTGGCACACTAGGGTGCCTTCTTCAGGGGTGCCTCGAAATTTTGTGAAGGGGGAACTCTGTTGTGAAAGGAGAGCTCTGATATAAAAGAGGGACCCCGATATGAAAGGGGTTTTTTAAGGGTGCCATGACTGAAAAAAGGTTGAGAAATGCTGAAATAAACTAATCTAAACTCATCAATATCTTCATCTTGCCCAGTAAAATTCCTGCTTCTCCCATTTGTATGGCTAACTACTCTTGGAATGTTTTGTTTTGCTAATGTGTGTAAGGGAACTCTGTTTTCCAGTATAAACATTTAAACAGCATCCCCAACTTTTTTTTCCTGTAGGAAAGACTGGGGAATAGACAATTTTCTGTCTCCAACATTACTACGTAATATGAGAGGGAAAGATATAAAGAAAGCCATCAGCTTTCACATTAAGCGGAACCAGTGTGTTCTTGAGCCAAGACAGAAGGTAAATATCCATGTTGCTGCCTTTACTAACAAAGTGTAAACTATGGGTAGCGGTTGAGCAATCCTTCTCGGTGATCCCCTTGCGGACACTCCCCTGGTGCCCCAAACTACCCCAGGTTCTCCGATCCCACCCGACAATAGGCCCTACATGGAAAACGACGCACATACTTTTTGAGTCTGCACGCCTTTCCCCATATCCTTCCCCACGACTCCCTGTGATAGGCTCCCCAGACTCCAGGCCTGCAGGACCCGGCTTTTCTCAGGGCGGGACAGAACGGTATATTCAGGGCCCTGCACTTCCTCCGAGGACCCAAATGGCCCTCATGTACTGAGATGGCGACAGATAACGACCTAGCTCCGCTAGGATTCTGGCGCCACTATCAACTAACTCACTTTCTCTCCTCCTTGCCCAGTCCTACATCCCTAACACGACCACTCACGAGCTTTGAGGGGGAGTGTATTTCCACAGGGACCCTATATAGAGCCCTCTCCTTCTGCTACCAACTTAGACTAGAAGCGGACTCTGACATGCCTTTACCGTTCCTAGACGACTGGGAACGGGACCTGGGGACATCCTTTTCACAAGAAGAGAAATCTAAATTGTTGGTGCTCTCTCTGAAGTCATCAACCTGTAATAGATATCAGGAATCGGGATATAAAATTATGACCAGATGGTACCACACCCCTCAGAAGCTAAATCGGATCTTCCCGGATGCCGATGATGGCTGTTGGAGGTGCGGCTCCTCCCCCGCAGGCATGCTACAGATATTCTGGTCATGTCCGTCCCTGCAGTCGTTTTGGTCGCAGGTGCGGGACATCACGCAGAAATTTTCAGACTCCCAGATACCAAACTCTCCCTCCTTTTTCTTGCTACACCATAACTCACGGCCCTTGAAGGGTTATAGGAACTCGGTGACTATTCATCTAGTCAACGCGGCCCGCGCATGTATTCCAGCCATGTGGAAGCAGGCATCACTTCCCACCCTCCAGTTATGGTTTAGTAAGATCAACGATATCAAACTAATGGAAGACCTTACCAGCACCATCAAGGATACAGTGTCCCGGTTCTGCCGAACATGGTTTTATTGGAACGAATTTGTTGCATCTGAGGAATACCTGGATCTTTTGAGATGATTCCGCAGAGAAAACCCCCCCTTTTTGGAGCATCTCTCCTATCCTCTGCCTGCTACCCTTCTACTCCCCCCCTATAGCTCCACATGAAGGTTACGTTCTTACAGTGTCGATAGGGTTAGTGGGTGGCCGGGAAGGCCCTGCTGACCCAGACGGTCAACATAGGAGCGCTGTACTGTCTTATTCTTATATATGTTTTATAGTAAATGTACTACATGTGGCTTCAAAATCAAAGCATCAAACTCACATATCACCGAACCCCTCGACTCCAGGCGGCTGATAAAGCGAGGGGGGTTCGTAGACAATCACCGCTGATATGCAGGATATTTTGGTTATTTCCTTCTTTACCACAATGTATGCCTTAACTGCTTGATGTTGGTGGCTGCGTCCACCTTTTAGTTGACATGTGTGAGCTGATGTTGGCTCTATATGTACCTTACACTTGATATGTTCAATAAACACAAGAATAAAAAAAAAAACAAAGTGTAGAAGTTGTAGAAAACGTGGTCATGTGAGAGAATGCACATTGATGCTAATATCTTAAACCAACCCTGTCGCCAATCCAATGACTATTTATGGAATCTACGGTCTGCAGAAGAGCTACACCATCTGAAGGATATTTACATCGCACACACTTCCAGGAGTGTTAGATCCTTGTGTTTTCCACTGTTTCCACTGTTGTTCCTCTTACTGGCCCTACGTCACTACAAATTTCAGGTATCCTGAGTCTTGAACTGGGTGAAACATGAAGATCCTTTGTAGCTCTGCTGTGGAGCAAAGATTCCTGGATTAAGTGCTGGACTAAGCGCTATCTTCTTTTACAGCTGCTGTTTGGCTAAAGTTGTTTTAGTCAATGACAGGGTCATATATTATCCACTATTACATACTACTGTAGTAAGATCATTTTCTTGAAACTGAAGTTTAATATGCTTATATTTTGCTTTTCCGGGTCCCAATCAAATTTTTGCTAAAGAGGGAACTTTGATGTAAAGGGGGCAGGCTCTGATGTGAAGGGGGCCTCTGATGTGAATGGCGGGATTCCTTATGTGAAGGGTGGGGTTTCTGATATAAAAAGGAGGCTTCTGATGTAAATGCGGCTCTGGATTTGAAGGGGGGACTTCTAATATGAAAGGGGGGAACTCTAAAATAAAGGAGGAAACTGGGGTGTCCCGAGATTTTGCATACTTTTAAAAGGTGCCATGACTGAAAAAAGGTTGAGAAACACTGACCTAGAGATAGAATATGGGAACAAAATATTGTTCTTTGACTATGGTGCATTTGCTCTGAGCTACATCAGCTTAAGTGATAGACAAAATTGAAATGCAATGCTGAGGGGTCTGTTTATAAGGAAAACTCGCAGATCCATTCACCTTGCGAATTTCCGACAACATTGGTTGTGCAAATAGAGGTGTATGTGTAATGTATACGTATATATATAAATATATATATGTATGTATGTGTATATATATATATATATATATATACACACAGTATATACATATATATATTTGAGGTGCACCGAAATGAAAATGTCAAAACTGAAACTAAACCGAAATTATTTTTTTTTTCTAACTTTTCCAAATATTTTATGTTTATTTCTTTTTTTTATAAACTTTTTCTTTTTTTTATATTTTATTTCTTTTTATTAAATATTTGTATTTTTTACTTTACTTTTAGGGGCTTTGGGGAAATATTAGGGATATAAACAGACCTCTGATATTTCCCTTTTAGAAAAAGAGATTGAGAACAGAGTCCTCTATCTCTTTTTCTGCAGCCCCTGTTATAAATGAAGAGGAATCCTCTATACTGAGTGTTCCTGTTCATTCATAACTTGTGGAGATAGTATGTTTACCATGTCAACAATCATGAATGAACAGGAAGTGATGTAGATCACTTCCCATTAATTCATAATTGAGGACACAGTAAACATACTCTGTCCTCAATTATGTATAAACACTCAGCGATCACTGAACGTCTGTACCCGCTCTCCTTCCTGGTTTGGCTGTCACAGGAGGCTGAGCGAGCGATGCAGGGAGGAAATCTCGATCTGACTCCTCCCCCGCATCACTGGCCTGGCCTCCTGTGACAGCATTGAGAGCTGTCTCCGCCCACATACCACTCTCCTCATCTGCCACAAGAGTCTAAACGGTGCGGGGAGGAGAGGTGCTGGCCACTCACAGCGTTCCCCTCCTCCAGCACCGCTCGGCCCCCTGTGACAGTTTCTCTACTCCCTGAGGAGAGAAAGCACGAATGCACCGCTATTTCGGCCAAAAAATTGCACCATTTCGGACGATATGAATATATATGTGTAATATATATATACACACGTGTGTGTGTGTATATATATATATATATATATATGTATATATATGTATATACACACACACACACAAAGTATATGTTCATTTTTGGCTCTATTCGCACAGAACAAATGTTTTACACAGATTCACATGGTAAATGGCTTTGCGTATTGTTTATCAATATACAAGCAAGTGTTTTGGTAACAAAAATACTGATGGAGCAAGAAACAACCAATACTTTTAATGTGGGAGAAAGTAGTATAAGTGGTGCATTACAGTGAAAGAAAGAAATAAAAAGGAAGTAGTCAAATATTAATCCTGCAATTCATAGATTCTTGTGAGCAACTTGGGGTATGGGAAAGGAAAGAAAAGTGGGTCTATTTTCATGGGAAGCTAGTTCAGTTTATGTTCTAAGTAGAAAATAGAATAGTAACCATCTTTCTTATGTATTTTGACTCACTTTAGCAACCTGTATCTGCAGCTCAAATCCGGGTGCAATATTTAAAGATTCTTGGAGATCTGAAAACCTATGGAGGGAAAATTTTTCATGCTACGTTAATGGTATGTATTTTAATCGTTAAACTCAGTTTGTAGAATATAGATGTATTATATGCACAAAGGCAAAGACTAATTTAGCTTAATGTGCAAAGCATGATTTAAGACTTCTGTGAAACTACCAGGAATTCTTCACTGTCAAGAAATACATGCAGTAATAATACCATGCAATTAGCCATAGTAGACACAAAAGCATTGTACTTATAGTTCTATTAAAAAGCTTTGCATGAAGTTGTATGCCACTGAATATAGCTTTTTGTCTCACTTGACTTTCCTGATGTCACGATGTGGAGGATTTGGTCAACGGATGAGTCTTTTATGTAGAGCTGCAGCTAACGATTATTTTAAAAATCGATTAGTTAGATTTATGTAAAGATTCCCCGAACCAATTATATATTATACTGTGGATAAAAGTCTAATCAAACCTGCTGTTGCGTGTGTGCACAAATTAACTTGGAGGTGTTCTAATATGGTGTAAAATAAGTAATAAAATAAATAAGTCTATAACAATGCTCAGATTCAGGCTGATGGGTCTTATTATGTGTTGTCAAGTCTATGTTGACTGTTGGTGACCAAATGGAAATTGTTTCTCCAGGATGATCTGTCATTTCTATGGGTATTCACAACAGAATGTTGTCTCTGTGACTGTATCCATCCACCTTAATGCTGGTTGTCTTTTTCTCTTCCCTTCAACCTTTTAAAGCGTAATTTTATTTTCCAGTAAAATAATTCTTGTCCAATAAAATGGCTTTATGCTAGTCATCTGGCCCTCTAACTGTTATATTATACCACCAGAAATAGGAGCGTAACTAGAAATCACAGGGCCCCATAGCAAAATTTTGTATGGAGCCCTGTGATTTCTAGTTATGCCCCTTGCAGAGCCCCCCTGATATGCCAAACAGCCCACCTGAGAGTGACCCTGCAGAGCTCACTATAGCCTCTCTATTAGACATGTGCGATTCATTTTGTTCTGAATCGAAATTCGGACGAAATTTCAGAAATTCGTGGATTTCCGAAATGTACCATGTCCGAATTCATCCGAAAGCATCTGAATCCGAAATTCCGTATCCGAAATTTCGGATATCGTACGAATTTCGTCCTAATGAAAACGAAATTAGAAATTTACGATAATGACTACAAAAAGAGGATTTCATAGCATGTGAAGATAAAAACAAAACATTACTTCATGTTCCTGTGCATGCACCGTCAACATTTAAACGGATAAAAAAAAATTAAAGGATTTTAATCGTGCATACAAGCATTCATCCGTTCGTGCAAAAACCCAAATTTTGGAAATTCGTCCAAATTACGAATCTGATCCGATCCGAAATGAAACACATACAGGACTCGATTTCAGAAATAAACGAAATCCGAAACTAAACAAAACTAATTTTTTGCGGCTGCACATGTCTACTCTCTATGGTGGGCTCTGCAGGGTCTCAGGTGGGTTGATCACACCCCTGAACACCTCTTACCTGTCAGCCCCGATCCGCTGTCCGCCTCCTCCTCCACGGTCGTTGCTGGGCTCCGCCTCCCCCTCCATCACCGGGCCCCGCCTCCTCCGCTGCCAGGACCAGCCTCCTCCTCCGCAGCTGCTGGCTGTCACTGACTCAGCAGCGGCTGGGAGGAGGAACACGCTGCTGCAGACATCTCTGATAGGTTGTCAGTGATCTAACAGCGACACGTTCCTCCTCACACTGGCCAGTGACAGCCAGCAGCCTGAGATGCCATAGCGACCCAGGCGGCCCGCACAGCATCAGGGGGATTTCCTGGCCAGGCCCCCCTGTGCCCCGGTCCCCATAGTGGCCACCTGGGTTGCTATGGCAATTGTTACGGCACTGACCACAAATTAAACATGAGACTGAAGTCCATCACAGGAGCGAGCTTGGAGCAGTGACTACTTTACAACACACACGGACCATGGGGAACAAAAGTAGCCCCCCTCCAGAAGGAAGGACAGTGTCAGCACCTATTTAGAGATGATTTGAGGATCTACAGCTGAGTAAGATACATTTTTGTTCATACTTAAGCTACTTGAATGCATTTTTAAGATTAATCTCCTGAGTTTAGTGTCACTTAAGTAATAGGAGGAGACACTAAACAATCCATGCAATTTGTATCAAATCAGACAGGCCCTGCACTACATAGCTGATTGCAGATCTAGAGGTGATTGCACAATCAGATTGTATAGTGTTGGGTCACCTTTACGCTGGCCATGCACTTTACAATCTGATTTTACAATCTTTTTTACATCTACCAACAGCTACACTATACAAAGACCTGCCTGACTGGATAAAAGTTGATTTAATGGTTTAAGTAGAAATCACTTAGTTATCGGCAGAGCTAAAAGATGTAGAGATTGTGCAATCAGATTTTAATTTGTGTGACCAGCTTGACACTTGAAAGATTTGTCTGCGTGTTCTCTGTGCTTATCATTGCGAAGAATGTTGCTAGTTTAAGCACATCCAGAAGTCACTAAAGGTCCTGAGCATTGTGTTTCAGTCCCATGTTCATTATTTAAAAAAAAAAAAAAACCTGTCATCAAACTACATTATTATTATTATTTAGGATTTATATAGCGCCAACAGTTTGTGCAGTGCTTTTATAGCGCCAACTACATTGACTGGTCTGATGGCAGTGCTAGCCAGGAAAATACAATCATAGTTCTGCAGGTATCTGCAATCTCGTTTCCCTTTCACTAAATGTAATTCGTAGAAAGCCTGTGTATCATGTTACATTATGTTTTCTTTTTGCAGCATGCCATAACAGCATTTTATTTACTTCACCCATTTCTCCTGTCAGCTGCAGGACAGAGAATCATATGTCACACTTCTAGTTGGAGCAAAGTATGGCATCAGTCAGATTATCAACAACAAGCTTAACATCATGATAACTTTAGCTGAATTCTCCAACATAAGCAGGATAGAGCTGACCTCGGAGTCGGAGAAAGTGAGCTTAATAAAGGTCTATCTACAGGATGTTAAGGTAACTTCAATTTATTGCTGCCATTCTGACTGACCCTGAGTTATCTACTATTTTAACGCTATGTACAGTTCTAGTCTTGCAGAAAAGATGGAAGGAAAGAGCACATCTAGAGATCACCTGGTACTGCATAATAAAGCTGAATTCTAGTCAAACAGCTAAATACACAGATGAAATACATGAATGAGAGCTGTTTTACTTGCCAAAGGTTTTGCAGTTCTGTCCATCCATTTATCAGATTTACACAGCCCTGACTTATGGCACGAGCAGCCTGAAGACCTAACCTTTCTCTACTGGAGTTTAATAATAATACTAGGTCTTGTCCCTGGCCCCAGCCTGATGAGGAGATGCAGAGGAATGAGTTGCTGCCTCCTTTTATCACCATGCTCCACGCCAGCATTTCTCAACTTTTTTTCAGTCACTACACCCTTTTAAAGTATGCACTCGAGGTACCCCAGTCTAAAGCCCCGTTCACATTGATCGATTTATCACGCGGTAATTCCCGCGATATCGCGGCAAATTACCGCGCGATATCGCGCTCCAATGCATTTCAATGGGGCAAAGGGTCCTGCTGTCGCGGGTCGTGTGTCGCTACAGCAGGACCCTTTTTGGAGCGGATTTAGCCACGATTCAAGCTTGCTCAATGCAAGCTTGAACGTGATATCGCGCGGCAAATCTCACGATGTTGCGCAATATGCAAATCGCGCAACAAACGCGCGATTTGCATATCGCGCAGTGGGAACGGGGCCTAAAATGTAAAAAAAACATTGTGTGCCCTTTCAAAATCCATACCAGAACCTAACCCCAGATTGGGGTCTGGTATGGATTTCAAGGGGGGACCCCAGGCAAAGACACACATCAGGAGTCCCTCCTTCAAATCAGGAGCCCCTTTTACATTATGAGCCCCTTTCACATCAGGAGCTCTCTCCTTTCACATCAGAGAACCCCCAATCACACTAGGAGCCCCCTTCCCTTTAGAGCCCACTACATTCACATTGGAAGCCTGTCTGCACAAAGGAAAGGCATGATCCTGAGGCACCCCTGATGAAGCCAGAAGAAACCCCATGGTGCAACGGCACACTGGTTGAGAAAGGCTGCTCCATGCACTGCAACTCTACTGATTGGCTCCTTGTGCTGCTTCTTCCTTTTCCAATATGAGCTCTGCTGAATGGTAGACTGCAAGAATCTGACACCAAGTTAACTCCAGGATCTTGCACTGCTTGCATTTAAAAGAATACATTTAATTGTGTTTTATTGAACAGAGAGCTACATTCATTTGTGTATTTTATATCTGCTTGGAGTGCAGCTTTAAAGCACAAAGGGGCTATAAGATTGTACAATGTCATGTATAATTAAACCCTGAACACTAAATTCTAAGAAGGTTAAAATGTTAACAGTTTATACAAAACACATTACAGGTATATCATAACTCATGAATTTATACAAATACATTTCAAAGTAGGGGGGTAACGTGTGGCACACTGTGACACTAGTGATTCATTTACCCACATATGCATAAACAATGTATCCATACACAAAGAAATGACACACCGAGCTTGTACTGAACCTTTCACATTGGAAACATGGGGACCCATTTCATACAGCGTTCCAGTCAGATCTGCCTGTCCATTTTTCAGGGGGATCTGATCGGAAGCTCAACGTTAGTCTATGGGCTGGCGCATGTAAATTGACCTGTGACTTTTTACATCCGATTACCTCCGAGTCTGTCTAGGACCGAAAAGTAAAAAAACTAAAATCTGACTGCCCATAGACCTAACGTGGGTTTGGTTAGTTAAGAAAAAAATGAATGGACATGGATGTCACGAAAGTGACATCCATTACATACTGCTCCATTAAGCGGAATCTGTGCATGGATCCCCTGCTGATCGGAACATGCCTGTGTGTAAGGGGCCTAACTCACTATGTTTATCAGGAGCGTCAGAGTAAAGTCCTTATTTGATTATGTGTTTTGGATCAGTGACTCAAAGTAATAAATTAAGATGGCCAGCATGGTAACTAGTATTTTCAAAAGACCAGCATTGACAGCCCCCATATTTCTCTCCTATTATGAATTTATTCAGATCAGCCAGATTTCTAATAAATCCAATAAAACAAATGCACTCATCTGGCTAAAAACAAATACAGTCTCCTCATTTGTACTGCTTTTTAGTAGAATCTAACAATATATTAACTCTATATACTTTTTTTCTAAAGCCACTTTCTCTGTTGCTGGAGTCAAATAATGCCAAAGACATTGCATGTCTCATTTCCGGGTATTGTAAGTTGCAAGTGTGTTCTGCTGCATCTATATTTGAATGGTGTCCTCACAGCCAAGTACATCGTGTTTCCACTGAGGAAGGTAAGATATACCAAAAAAAACAAACAAAACAGTTAAATGACATATCCAATTACTTCTCCAGAGAGAATTATGTGCCATAATTTGAATTGTGTCACTAGTAAGAAAATTTATTTAAATAACATTAGTGGCATGGCTGGCTTTCTGAATACATTTTGTACAGTGGTAGGGTTGACGCTAAGTGTAGAAACGATGTTGCCTACCTTTCACTGTGAATTGTATCTTTATTGAAGTTCTATGTATATTGGTGGATCTCATTAAATAAAGAATTTAAAAAAAAGAAAAAGAAATGACAGTCACTGTCCACTGGTCCTAGGGGTACCACCCTTTGGTCCATGAAAAACTAAACTGAATGGGAGAACTGGTCAATTAGCCTGGTAAACTAATGTGATTTAGTCATAAAGGGCACAGTGTAAGAGAGCAAGGATTTCAATAACATTAAAGTACCCAAAATTATTTTTATTTGTCTGGTAACTGAGGTAGCTTATAACTGATCTAAAGTGCACATTTTATTCAGTGACTTGTCAAGGAATGCACTTGTTAAAACTTACAAATGTAAAAAGATCAGCAAAATAAAAAAGAGAAGAAAGGATTTCATGAATTAATAAAAACATTATACTAATTCTGCAACCGTGGTTCTTCCAGTATAATCAGCGGACATCTGTTGTCACTAAGACAGCCTGCCTGACGCATTTTGCATCAAGAACACTGACATTGCTTGTAATACAGAGCGAGGTCTCCACAAATTACATGATAACAACCCCTTTCCCTGTGTAGTCTGCAGGCCTGGGCTTTCAGTTTAACAGGTTGGTCTTGTAGAGTACAACTGCTGCCCCCCAACACAGCTCCAGAGACAGGAGCCTCTCCTGCCTCTGTATTGGTCCAGCCCTGACTACTATATTAAAAAATTACATATAGATAACAATTAATGTAATAGAATTTGTAAAATGAATAGCTTGGTAATATGAGGTCCACAGATTGTAAATGAGCTGCTTGTGAAGACAAAAAATTATAATAAAAATTAGGGCTGCGGAAATTAACGATTAATTTCTCGATTAATCGTTAAACTTTTTGATCAATTAAAATTATTTTGATCGCTAATGAAAACACTCACCTCTCTGCCGGCTTCCGGGAGTCCCGTTAGAGATCCGGTTACGTCACGGACATTGACGTCACCGGACTCCTCCCCCCTTCCCTTCGTTAGCCGACGGAGCCACTTGGGCCGGTGAGTTTGCCCAAGAAACTTTCTGCACGAGCGCCAGCCAAGACATTGGCCTATACACATACAGCACAGCAATGAAGTAATAAAATGAACTAGGATCACACTAATCCAGCACGTTATTATTCTGAGTTGCCCCACTCAAGCGGCGGCCATATTGAGTGGGGCACGTGAGATTAATAACGTGCTGGATTAGTGTGATCCTAGTTCATTTTATTACTTCATTGCTGTGCTGTATGTGTATAGGCCAATGTAGTTGGATCTGTATGTGCGTTATAATTAATCGAAATTAATCGATTGAAAAAGATTTCGATTAATCGAACACGAAAATTTTAAGAGGAACAGTTTTAGTATAGTACAAATGACATACTGTATATGCATTTTAGCTTTTTTTTACAGTATTAAAACACAGATTGAAAGAAAACTACCAATTTATTTTCCAAAAGAGGCCAGGATAGAAAATAAGAATGCTGCCAGTGTCTTGTTTTTGAAGGTGCATGCATTAAGCTGTCATCCATATCTATTGTTTGCTATTTAGTGAGTCACTGACCTAGAACAAGCATATGCATATCAGTGGCAGGGACACCTGGTAGACACATCTATATTCCATGCCAAATGACTCATTTAAAGTGACACTAAACCCGTAAAAATGCATTCAAGTACCTTAACTATTAACAATACTGGACCTTATTTGTGTATCACTCGGCTGTAGACCCTCAAATCATTTCTGAATTGGTGCTGACACTGTCCTTCCTTTTGGAGGGTGGATACTTTTGTTCCCCATGGCCCCTGTGTGTGTCTGTAATGTAGCCACCGCTCCAAGCTCACTCCCAGGATGGATCACAATCTCAGTACAAATGACTAAGCTATTCAGAGATGATTGGAGGATCTATAGCCGAGTGATACACAAATAAGATAAATTTTTTTAAATAGAGTACTTGAATGGAATTTTAAGATTTAACTCCTAAATTTAGTGTCACTTTAATAGTAAAGAAAGGATTAGATTATTGGTTGACTTGTTCTTATGTAATACTTATGCTATGGTGGAGTCATATGTGCTATTTGTCCTTCATTCTAGTTTGTATTTTGTAACTTATCAAACTTAATTTAAAAAATACTAATACATCCTGCTCGTTATACTTCCCATATTCTGAGGACTACCAAACTATGATTGCTAAAGTAGCTTTTTTTTGCTACAGTATACCTAGTGACTGACTGACTGTGCTTGGGTTCCTCTTGCATCTCCACCCTCCTTGTTGAGCCCCCCCCACCCACAGAGGTCGAGTTATTTCTCCTCTCCCTCATGTTATTTATTTTTCTCGCCCTTCATCTTTTCTTTTTTTCCCTCATATAACATTTCCCCTTCTTTCCCCCTCTATGGAAAAAGTGAAAAACTTTCAGGGTGTCCACTACGAGCGAATACAGATATACCTGTGGCTTTTATGATTGCTAGTTCCATAGCTGTCTTTGGTGTGTGTCCTTGCCCTTTTTCATCCATTTCCATGTTTTCTTTTAAAAGTTATGTTCCACTGTTGGATGCCTCTGATGTTTATGGCTATCTCTGTTCCCATTTGGATTTTCTCTTTTGATTCTACTGTTTTATAAGCCTGTATTTGCATTGTGGCACCTTGTGTATAAATAAAGAATTTATAAAAAAAAAAAAAACTAGTAATAAAAGAGAAAGGATTACATTGACAGCCATGGATTGTGTACCTTCAAACGAGTCATCGGCAGCCACCCCCAAATTTCTGCCTTGACAAATTCCCTTTAAGAAAACATATTGTTGTGACATACAGTATATATGTGCTGCTTTTATTTCACAATATATGCAAACACAAATGTGATAACATCAAACTATTTTCTTTAAAGGATATGAATCTAGAGCATGCAGTGATTCTGAGGAGTCATCAGAACTTGATTCATCTTTAGACCACTCATCAGAACTCCAGTTTTTGAGACAACGCAATATAAAGCCTTTGCCGGAAGAAGAGGAGGAGGAAGAGGAAGACATGCACATGTTGAAGCAAGATGAAGAAACCAAAGAAAGTGCTGTCAGCGAGAAGGACCAATGTGATTGTGGAAACAATGATACAGACAGTATTTCTGAAGCTTCTGATTCAGCTAACACAGAAAGTCAGGGTTACAAGATTAGCTGGTCCAGTGACTCAATCGATGCTCTGGAAGAAGATGACCTAGAGACGTGTTCTTCTAGCCGGCCAGAGTTCTTCCAGTTTTATACACCCATCTTAAATGATGTAACTACAGAAGATCAGGGTGTTTTTACTGATAATCCAGAAATGAAATGCAAAGGAGATGGGTGTGAAGAATCGGATCCATTGCTGTGTTTCTTGCAGATGGCCGATATCAGGGAAAACTCAATTTTGGATACTAAGGAAAAACCTAGATCACCCAAAGATGCGGACTGCAGAGAGGACCACGAAATCCATGTGTTTCCTGGATGTCAGCTAATAGAAAAAAATGTTATGGAATACTATAGCCTTTGCTCAAATGTCTCTCCTGCCAGTAGTGTGGACAGGAACATCCCTAGTAGCCCAGAGAGCAACTGTGTTAAGGATTTAATAACAGAATGTAAACTAAAGGTAAAAGGTTGCAGGCGGCCAACAAATAAGGAGGTTGAAGGTCTTATCCTTGATCCTCCTCCAGGTTTTGGTGACAGCAGTTCCGAAGAAGAGTTTTTTGATGCTGCAGACAGATTTACACCGACACTAACCTCTCCAGGTAAAATATTATTAATTTGCCTGAAAACGATTATAAAGCGCAGCCTAACATTCTAACCAGGGCCAGATTTATACTTTTTTCCTTTTAAGAGATTTACTTCTCTTTCCCTTAGATCGGCTGTCTTGTGCCTTCACCCAACAACTGCTTTGAGTGCTGCCCCTCACCCTTTTCCAACACATCCACACACAGGACACATGCATAGTTCCACACGTACACCATAAACAGGAATCAATAATCAATTCTTGCATTCAGTAATCCATGTAACACAAATGCTGCATCAATCCATGTGCCACCTCTGCAGCATAGGTGATACATAGACATTTGCAAGATAGTTGGTACATAATTGGTAAATAGATCGCAGCTAGTGTCAGGTCAATATATACAGGTCAATACAGCAATGCAGAATAATACCATCAGCTATAGAGGACTACAAATCGCAGCCAGAACAGTACAGTAAATTAAATTAGATTATTTAAAAAAAAATGCAACATGTGTCTTTGGGTGCTTTTCTTACTTTACAGTATATATGGCCTGGGCACTTTTTTCTAGCTTCTCTCACTTTCCAGACAGACCCCAGCTCCTCTTTGCCTGTTGGGCGGGCGCACAGATGATATCAATCCACAGCTGTAAAGGCCGGAAGTAAAAGTTAATAATCAGCTGCCGCAACTCCCAGTATTTCTCTGCAGCAGCCAAAAGAGACAAAACAGTCCCCTCTCTCCTGCTGTCAGTTCAACTGGGGGCCTGGGGATAGAGGGGATTTTATTAAAAAATGGATAATGGGCCCCTGTGATTGCGAGGCCTTAAGGGACAGCCTAAAATGGCCTAATGAAAGAGCCGCCTCTGCATATAGGTGCCTGGGAGAAAGGAAAGAGATATGTTAAAAGGAAGATCTGTGCTGCTTTGGGGTACTGTATTTGTAAACATTAGGAGGATCCAGACCATCTTGATATTTGTGGATGTACATGGTATATTTGGAGATTCTGGGGTTGGTTTACTAAAGGCAAATAGGCTGTTGCCTATTGAACATTTGCAGGGGATGTTTCCCTTAGCTTGGTGAAATTTAAGGTTGCAAAGAATAGCCAATCACATGCAAGGAAAATTTTAATTGATTGGTTGATGGAAGTCAGCAGAGCTTCACCTCAACCAATAAACTATGTTCTGTGTGGGTGGGGGTGCAGGCATGGTGGTGAGAAAGGGAGCCATGCAGGTGTACTGGGGAAAGCAAGAGTAGAGGCATACAGGCACGGTTATGACAACAAAGGGTGGATATGGTTGTCCTGCAGGGGGTGATGGTTGTGTGCTTGCAGAGGGAGGGGAGAGCAGGCATGGTGGTGAGACCAGGGAAGGGGTGGATGGGGCTCAGGTGCCATATTAGGGTGAGGGTGGGTGCATGTTCAATGGTGATATTTGGAGGTAAAGGTGGAGGTAGGGGGCTTAGGCACCATGCTGAGGATAGCTGGGGGTGCGGGCTCTGTGGTGAGAAAAGAGGTTGCCAGTTATGCAGGTGTAGTGAAAAGAGGGAGGGGGGGGGGGGGGTGCAGGTGTGTTGGTGGCTGCAGCGATGGGAGGGATGTTTTGCTGTCAAAGTAGTGGGAAGGATCTCCCAGCAGAGTGCTTGGACTAAATGCTACGAAGGCAGTGGACAGTCAGGTACCTATCAGTTCTGCTAATAGTGGTGTAAAACAGCAGTTCTTCTCAGACAGCGGGGGCTCATCTCATCCAGTATTTCTGGTATTGGTGGTGGTCAGGCCGCAACCTCCTACCATCACTCTCCTCCTGTGACTTCAACATGGGGCTCTGACCTGGCCCTGGGGCACCTTCCTCCTGTAGAATTCACTTTCTCTCCACCTGGAGCAGAGGCCAGGGGTCTGAAGGGGCAGAACTGGCAGGTTCTTCAGAGGTCTCTGTGCTTCATATGGTCCCCTGCACTGTCTAGCCACTCCTGGCTACCAGCACCCGGCTCCACAAACAACCCAGGCTGCAGTCTTTATAAAAGTGATTTTAAAGTCAAAATGTTTTTAAGTTATTTTAAATCACTTAGAATCGCTTACAATGGATGCTGCTCCTTGATGCTTTAGTTTCCTGCGGAATCGGCCCATGACCTTAGCACTGGCCCTGATATCCTCTTTTAGGGTGGCTCCTTGCAAGGTTCCTCCTTAAGGTTCCTTGAAAGGAAGGGATTCGCAACAGTGAGTGCACTGTACTGTGTGGAGACCAGGCTTGTGTCTATGATGCATGTGTGGAATCGGCGCCATTATGTAGGAGGCTATCTGAAATATATATGCTATATAGGGCTCAGCAATATGGCGGTGAGATCAGTGGCGTAACAACCGGGGGGGCAGCAGGGGCCCCGGGCGAAAAGTGAAGGGGGGGCGCCGGCCGAAAATGGCACTAAGATCCCATGTGGAAGTGACCTTTTAGATGTGTGGAGGATATGGCCGCATTTCTAATGGTGGCTTTGACATGACTGCCTCATGCCATTGCAACAGTACCCAGATGACCTCCTAAAGAAAGTCCAAGGGGTTAAGTTAATTTTTTTTTAATTGCCTAAGTGATAATGTTGACATCATCTGCACAAAATTATTTACATGTAAACAACTAACATAATGCTTATTTCTCTAAGAAAGGAAAGGATAGGATTTCCCCATTCGAAAATATACAACATAAAACTCACCTTCCTTCTGCCTTTTGCAGGTGCAAGATCAGAAACGTCATTTGTCTACCCAGAAAGTGCATCAAATGGATTATATGTGCAAAATTCTGCTGAAAAATGCAGAAAGGAAAAGCAAACAAAGAAACCATCAAAGATGTTACGGAAAAGGAGATCTTACTTGCAAACGGACTATACTTCTCAGGTCACATTCCCTTTGTCCCCCTCCAACTCTTTGGAGAACATTGATCATGTATGTTGCTTTGAAAAAGAATCTCACCTTCCTACGGAGTCCCATTCTCCTACAGTGTCCTCTTTGAATGACATTGAGGCGGAACCAGCTCTGCTGGAAATGAAACCACTTTCATGCAAACCCATATTAAAGTCCAAAAGCAGAACACATTCACCAAGCTTAATGGAAATGGAGCCTGACACCATGGAGAACAAGTCAGTTACTGAATCTTTATCATCTTCCATATCAGCTATACGTTTCAAATGTGACTCAGGAGTGACAGACAGTAGTCCGAATGCTAAATATTGTGTTTATGAATGTATTAATGTAGATAAAACTCCAAATGGTAATATGTCCGAACAAAATGGTCGAGCTAGTCCATCTGAAATATCACTGGAGCTGGACAACACTGACATTTGTGGCCTATCACATGTTTCCTTAGTACTAGATGATCAAGCTACAAAAGGCTCAACAAGCCATATGGAGAACATTACAGAGGATGCTAGTGCTGTATTTGAAAACATATTTAAAAGTGAAGGTGTTAAGGAAGAAAACATTAGTTCTGTGTTGTCATCATTTCCTAGTAACAGAATTTTACCATACATTGCTCAGTCAGAAGCTTCCTGGCAATCCAAGCACGACACACTCAAAATGGAGTTTATGAATTCTGAAGTAGACATTTCACCAAAAGGGGCAATTGATAATGAAAGTTCTCCCCAGAGTTCTAAAACACAAAAGTTGTTTAGTTTCTCAGATGCTGGTGACTTACTTTTTGATTTTAAAGGAATTGATGATCTTTTTACTAATTTCCCTATAAACTCTTTTAAAGAAGGAGGGGCTGAAGCAACCAAAGTGCCTCCTTGTGAAGAGGCAGTGCATCTTTTAATAAAACAAGAGCCAGACTTCCTAACGTCATTGGACCCTACAGATGTGACAAGAAGTTCCAATGAGAGATGGGGCTGCTTGTCTCCATCAGTGTGTTACTCTGAAACAGCTGTGGACACTCTGGAACTCTGTTATGAAGAAAGTAATGAAAAGATAGAATCATGTGCTGAAACTTTGAGCTCGGATGAGGGCTCTGATGGACATTCAATGTATAAAGAAAATTGCATTTCAGAAGCACAGTCATTCATACCAAAATGTACCGACTCTGCCAGCAAGGGTTGTAGGCAGAAAGAGGTATTAGAGAACAGATGTGTAGACCTTTATGATTCAGAGCAAAAGAGCCCTGATATCTCAAAAGTAGGAAACTGTAGCTGCCATTTATCCTATGCCAACTGTTTCCGCCCCATAGATAATGATGCCGAGGATGAAATTATTGACTTTGCTGGAACTGCCTCACCATTACCTAGGACAATACCACCTAGATCTGGAAATTCTGTGTTTGTAGAAAATATTCATCTTTCTACAATCACGGCTATCAAAAAGGCACCCTCTTTAGAGCACTGTGAAGCTCTGGATCTCTTAAAAGCCAGAATACATGATTCCCCTATGGGCTTTGGCAAGCTGCAAGATATTGTCCTGGATCTTCAAAGAATCTTAGAAGAATATAAAAACAAGCGCAGACCACATCTGGAGGACAAATGTGCTGCTCTCTTCTCGGAACACAAATCTAGTCTTTGTATCGTCTCTCGGAATGTGATGTCAGCATCACAGAAAGTGCTTAGACCAAATCAAACACCGGAGGAGATCTACCAAGTTGTGGAAGAAACATTTTTCAGTTTAGTACACATGACAGATGTATGTCTACAGTTTTCCAGTTGCGTAAAATGCAACAAACGACAAACTAATGTCCAAACCAATCTTTGTGATCTAATATGCACGTACCACCAGTTTGTACAAGCAGCTAAGAAGGCCGCTGAGAGGAACGACCAGGAATTGCATCTCAAACTGCTTTCCCGACAGTGCACTGCACTAACTGCTGCTGTTTTTTGCCTGACTCAGCAGTTCAGGACATTATTATTCCTGTAAAATGAGATGAGCATTTCCCTCTTTATAACTGTCTATGAAAATATTTTCATTGACACTAGAAAGTCACTTAACATTTTGCACAGTTTTGCTACGAAAAATCACTGTAACACTAAAACCCTGTGTTATTTCTAAGGAAATAGCAGCCATTGTATACGTTAACCAGAACTGCCACATCCATTTTGTCTAATTTACATAATGGGGTTGATTAGAACAGGAGAGTACATCTGCCACTTATCTAATTGAAGCTGTATTACATTCAATCATGCTGTCTACACACAATTGGGAATTCAAATGAGCACTGGATCACTTGTGTAAGAGAACGTTGTGCTCATTTGTTAATCAATCCCTGTGAGTTGTACCTTTAATAGCTAACCTTATGGAAGACTTAGCCTTGTCTCAAAGCACAAAGTCCCTTAAAGTAGGTATAGAGCCATTTTGTTCAACTTTCACAATCATTATAATACCAGTTGTTGGTGTCACACTCCCTTAACAGACTCTCTATACCATACACTTATTCACAAAAGGGTGAAGAGTTTGGAGAAGTCATGAGAAGTGAACAATCTACAACAACATAGCTGATTTGGAAAAATTCTCCAATTCAGCTCACTTTCCAGTTTAGCTATGTTGTCCTAGATTGTTCACTTCTCCTGCCTTCTCCAAACACTTCACCCTTTTGTGAATAGCCCTGTAAATAACTAGGACATTCAGCTGCAAGAGAGTAATTGCTTAATTTTGGGTGTATGCCTAAGGCAGACAAGCAACAAGCAAAGGGAGATTTTTCAAATAAAGTTAAATGATATACAATGTTGGCTGTTATTTTAACCTGCTGGTGCCCTCCCAAACTACAATCTTAATTTTGGTTAGTGATATCTTTTTTACTGCCCCGCAAAAATACAATTACTTGATTTTTGCAGATGGGTATTGTTAGACCTTTGTTTTTTGGATTCTGTTTCTGCTATCAGAGATGAAAACACAGGGAGTGATGAAGGTTGACTAGGAAATCTTGATTGATATGATTTATTGCCATTTTTTGCACACAACTGCACAAAGGAAATTGTGACATCTCCTTTTTTTAAATATTGTCTCGGTGTGTATGTGTGGGCCCTGTTTGCAACTTATACATTGATTGCTGATACGTAAGAATCATGCTGGTTTTGTGGTTAACTAATTCAAACTCAATTGCTAACTAAAAACTGTGTTAACAGTATAGCAGGAAAGGGTTAAAATTACCTGGAGAAAATGCTGCTACAAGCTCCCTACCATGTTGGTCACATGGCCAAAAGCCTGGGGCTTTGGTCACATATCTCTTAACGGGGAGGATCAACCAACCTCAGTTCTAACCCGACTCCGAAGAAGTAATCACATGACCAAACACCTAGGTTTTTGATGATATAATCAGCACGGGAGAAGCACTTCTATCATTCTTTATCCCTTGCAGCAAGATTGGTTATAAAGTCCTATGCTAACTTTTGAGTATCGATTCTCACATACAGGGTTATTCACAAAAGGGTGAAAACTTTGGAGAAGGCAGGAGAAGTGAACAATCTAGGACAACATAGCGGAACTGGAAAGTGAGCTGAATTTGAAGATTTTTCCAAAACACCTATTTTGTCCTAGATTGTTCACTTCTCCTGCCTTTTCCAGACTCTTCACCCTTTTGTGAATAACCCTGTAAATGACAACTACTGATCAGTATTCTTGTTTTGCTTCTGACATCAATTTTTTAATTTGAGGATGTGGCTGCAGTGTCTGAATTAGATGTTAATGAGTGCTGTGCACTTGTGTTTGTTAATGCTTTCTCCATCCGTAATGCTGCTTTAGTTGTATTCCTCCATATAAGTTAATGTGGCTATACCATAAATGTGTCCCAAAATGATGTCAATGTTATATCAAACTGATCTCAAATTCTCTCAAACGAATCTAAACCGCAGGACATTTTTCTCTGTTTGACTTGTTTTTGAGAGTGAAATATTTATACACTAAAGCACTGACTGAATCTAACTATGGAACCTGTGTAAGTTAGGAGAGTTATTAAAGAGATAAATTGGCAGCCCTGGGCTGGACTGATGAGGATATCAATTAGGTCTCTGACAGCAGAAACAGGACTGCTAGGTGTCTATCGGGGTCTGTTTATCAATGTTTTCACCCAAGATGCACACATTTTCTAATTTACTCTTATGTGAAAATTAGGGATGCCCCGATACCACTTTTTCAAGACCAAGTACAAGTACTTTCCCTCAGGTACTTTCCGATACCAAATACCAATACTTTTTCTTAAAGAGACATGTGACATTTTTTCTAAAATAACACAGACTGATGATTTTAGGGTAAATTCTCACCAGAGCTAAATACAGATGTCACCAGAGCAGAATACAGGTCACCAGAGCAGAATACAGGTCACCAGAGCACAATACAGATGTCACCAGAGCACAATACATGTCCCCAGAGCACGATACATGTTTCCAGAGCACGATACATGTCCCCAGAGCACGATACATGCCTCGAGAGCAGGATACATGTTCCCAGAGCACAATACATTTTACCAGAGCACAGTACATCTCACCAGGCTGCGATCTCATCCGGGCGGCATGTGGATCTCTGCAGGGCTCTGCGGGCAGTGGCTATGCTGTGGAGAGTTGATTGGGCGGGTGCCATTTCCGGGGCTGTACTGTGCTGTATGGGGCTGTCCATAGCTGTGCCTGCGCTGGGAAGGAGGAGGAGATATAAAAACGGACAGGCACTGCCAGGGATAGCTACTGCCAGGTCCCCAGCAGGCTGCCCAGGTCCCCACAAGTGTGGGAACTCAGCAGCCACTGCGGTTTAAAAATGTAAAGGGCCGGTAACGGCCTTAGGAATCAGGGCATTTTCCCGACTACAAGTATCAGCACTGATACTAGTATCTGGATATCCTTGGTGAAAATGTGCAAGTCTAAGGTGCAATTTGAGTCTTGGGTGTGAATCTTGGGGAAAATCATTGAAAGAGAATTGTGTAGTTCTATGAGACCAACTGAATGTTTAACATGATTGTTAAGTCTGACTTTTAAATGTTACCATTTTTACCACAAATTGTACCATTACTAGAGCACAATATCAGTATTGCCTTACTCTGTCATCAAGAATCCAACATAAAGTGTTAATGTACTTCTTTGAGCACAATGTATAGCCCCTTACACCCGTGATACTTAGAAATTATAAAGCATTATTATGACTGTAATTATTTAATAAGTAGAATGTTTACACGTATGTCTCCGAGGAGTATGTTTGTTATCGTTTATATTTAAAATATGCACCAAAGAAGTATGACATGAAAAAAGGAATAGTATATAAAGCCGTCTATATTTTCAACATGAACAAATAAATTATAATATTGTATTTTTTTTTTGGTTTGGTTGAAAGCCGACTAATTTTGCTATTATGAAATATAAAATATGCTTACTGTATTTTCTTCGATAAATATATTATTATATACAGTTGCACTATATTATGTAACATGAGGATCTAGTCTTTCTTTGTGGCTCCTGGAAAAAAAAATATATTAAATTTTTTAAGTGACTGAAATAACTGTAATTACAATCACTTTATATCTTATGATATATTCACCTGACTGCACACTGTTCTGCATTCAAGAGGTTAAATACAGTTACTGTATGATTCATTGTTGTTTTATTGTCCTTTGATTCATAGTAATTATTTGTTTGTTCAATATTTTCTTCAAAGGTTTGAAGAGGTAGTGTAACCGCTTTATGAGATCTGTCATTTGAAGAGTAACGGACTACAAGTTGACTCAAATTATCCGTAGTATCTTATAATCAAGACTGAATAGTGCAATTCTCAATATGAGGATTTCCTCTTTTATTAAAAAGCTTTATAAATGCCTTTTTAAATCTAGTAGATGGCCTACTCTACTCTAAAGGTGGACATACACTTTGTGAATTTTGGCTGGTTCTTGATAGACCGGCCAAAATCTGCACAGTGGGTGCCACTGTCGGCACCCCTTCGGTCAGCATCCCTCGATCAGATGATCAAAGGAGCTAGTCGGAAAATCTTCAAGCGTACAATCAGCTGGCGGTTCTGTGCAGGTATTCTGACAGCGGCAGCTGTCAGAATACAAAAGAAACAGTGTGGATTCCTCTATCAATGCTCATAAGCATTGATGGAGGAATCTGTTCTGGTTTTGTCATTCAGCCTGCGATTTGAATGAAAAAAATAGAGCAGTGTATGGCCAGCTATACTAAGAATTTGGTTGTCAACAGAGGCTAGATTGGTTGGCCAACTCTTTAGAAATTTGTTTAAAAATGTCTGAATCCATCTCGACCTGGTGACTTTCCAAACTGCTTAACTGTGGAGCCAAAATTTGGTTCTGATTATACAAAATGTAAGATACACAAGATCTGATCTAGAGAGATTTGGGAGAGACGCCCAAGTGATGCCCAAACCTAGGCCTCATGGAAACACATATTGTTCTCTAACAATCAAGTTTAACATACAGTAATAGTCCAAATAATTCAGAGATTCTGGAATTTAAACATGGTCTATAATCCTCCTGTCAAAAGCATCAGTCAATGTACTATTATTAGTAGAGGGAAAATATTATCAGTCTGGCCATTCACTTCTTGGTTTATGGCCAGATCTGTAAAGCTTTGCATTTGTCTGCAGTTAAATAGTGAAATGCTTTTCTGTTGTAAATGCTTCCAGTCTTATTTTACCTTCCTTGTAGAGCAGCCTAAAATCTTTAAGGGATCTGGTTTCAATTTGCAAGCTTTCTACCTGCTTGTATAACCTAGTGCAAGTTTGTTATAAGCAAAAAATGTGAAAATCGTCTTGCCACTAAGGAGTGTCTTTACAAGGTTCCATCAGCTGAAAAATGTGTATTCTTGTACAGAGTCTATATTGTTACCGGGCAGAAATCAGATTCTTACACAAATCCTCACGTGCAAAACATTCTTTAGGAAAACATTAAACGTAGGGCCACACTATAGCACACTAGAACCGACCATGGTTTGATCAGATCTGACTAGAACATACTGTATCTAAGGAGAGTGGACAAGATTAAAAATA